CTATAAATATATTTTGATTTAATTGTACCCTATAGCAAACTATTTCTATTTTCGCCACTCTCCCTGGTGGAATCTCGCTCGCCACTCTCGTTTGGTGGCAGTCTCGCTCGCCTCTCTTGCTTTTATACAAACACAAATGTATAAAATGTGTTTGTGTTTGTATAAAGCGAGTGAAAATTGTATATATACATATATTTCGTTCCCCTCTCTCCCCTCTCCCAGATCTCGCTCGCCACTCTCCCAAATCTCGCTCGCCACCATCGCCTCTCTCACTTATACAAACAGAAACGAAATGTATAAATTGCGCTTCTGTTTGTATAAAGCGAGAGAAAATTGTATATACACATGCAATTACATATATCTTCGTCCTATACACTTATAATTATACAATACAAATATTTCCCCGCCCAGTTTTCTTTTGCCTTTCTCTCTTTCTCGTTTTATACATACACAGATTATACAATTGATCTTTTGTAGACAACGGCTTTCTTTTGTATATGTATAGCGAATTATACAACTGCCTTCTTTGTATATATATAGCGAATTATACAACTGGTTTTTTTGTATATGTATAGCGAATTATACATATATATGTTTGCTATGGAGCGCAATTATTCAAACTTTGTTATAGCATACAAATATGAATTTTGTGCTTGCTATATGTGAAAGTTGCTCTTATAAATTTTATTTACATATGAAATAAATGGTTAGTAGATATAAATATGGGGTTGTTTTTACAAAATATAAAATTGTGGGTCAATTTTTGTATTTGAAAAATCTCAAATCATGATTTTTGAAGAATTTGATATTAAATAAGTGTAAAATCACATGTCCAAACGCTAATTTCATCTCATGATTTCATATCGTGAAATCAAATCGCATGTCCAAATGCCTACTAAGTTATCCTTATTTATTATAGTAGATGGTTTTTAAAAAAAATTGAGCAATATATTTTTTAAACAAAATGTTTTTTTTAAATTAGGCTATAGTTGAAAATTGTTGACTACTTCAATTTTGAATTCTTAAAAAGTGATACTAATTATTTTAGGATATTTTCGTTAAAGCTAAAACCACTGTTAATATAAAATGGAAAATATTCCATAGGTTCACTTTTATTTATTCACTATTTCATCAGTAGATTTTTATTTACTCATCACTTCTAACATATTAAGATTCCGTGTTTTAGCTTTAGCATTAATTATTTATTCCCCATATCAGTAACATATGTTTGATTATTTGTGTCCGCCTGCTCTGTTGTTGCCTATCTGTGTCTGGTGTGTATTCCTTCCCATGAATTTTTACTTCTCATCCTATAATCCATCCCCCTCCTCTTCATCATGCTCCTCTGCGTATATATGTGTGACTCGATACAGCAACATCAATATTGGAGATAAAACGTAAAGAGTGCTTACCATATGAACAATTCTCGTGTCTATATGTGTGAGTATGGAATTGAACTGGCAAGCCAAAAAACGTGAGTATGTGTGAGGGGAGTCATGTGTGTATGGTATGAGGTCACATGAGAATTGTTACCAAAAATGATATGAAGTGAAGGAATCTTTTCGTTTTTATTTTATTTTCTTTTTTAACAAAGTAAACAAAAAAAACTAGAGGGGATAAAAAATGACGTGTCTATATATATATATATATGAGAAATGGGGAAGCAAATCAACAAGCTTAATTACCATTGCATAGAGATAATTATCTAAGGATTAAGTAGTGTTATCTGTTAAATTAATCATGGCTTTTGCATTATTATCATCACCATCACTTGTCTCAGTTTGTGACAAAACCTTAATTAAACCTTCTTCTCTCACCCCACCTACTCTTAGATACCACAAACTGTCTTACATTGATCAATTCCATAGTAATATGTATATTCCTTTGGCATTTTTTTACCCTAAAGTACAACAAAGAGAGGAGTCAAATAATTCTCGTGAACTTTCCCATATAGCTCACTTGCTACAAACATCTCTATCAAAAACCTTAGTCTCTTATTATCCTTACGCTGGAAAATTGAGAGACAATGCTATTGTTGATTGTAACGATATGGGAGCTGAGTTTTTGAGTGTTCGAATAAACTGTCACATATCTGAAATACTTGATCATCCTGATGCATCTCATGCAGAGAGTATAGTTTTTCCCAAGGACTTGCCTTGGGCGAATAACTATGAAGGTGGTAATTTACTTGTGGTGCAAGTAAGTAAGTTTGATTGTGGGGGAATAGCTATCAGTGTGTGCTTATCGCACAAGATTGGTGATGGAACCTCTGTGCTTAATTTCGTTAATGATTGGTCTCGTATGACTCATAGTCGTATGACAACAACTTTGGCTCCTAAATTTGTAGGAGATTCTGTTTTCTCGTCAAATAATTATAGTCCTATTATTGCGCCACAAATGTTGTCTAATGTCAGTGAATGTGTAAAAAAAGAATTATTTTTCCTACAACAAAGTTAGACGCACTTCGATCTAAGGTAATCATACCACAAGTCCATTATTATTATTATCTGCTTTTATGGTTTTTTCTTCTCTGTTTTAATTTATACGACATAATTTGAGATGATATTTATGAGTAAAGGTAGCAGCAGAATCGGGAGTAGAAAATCCAACAAGGGCTGAAGTTGTGAGCGCGCTACTTTTCAAATGTGCAATTAAGGCAGCATCAAGTACAACTACTTCAATGCTTACACATCTCCCATCAAAGTTTGTTCACTTTTTAAACGTACGTAGTATGATCAAATCTCGTCTACCTCAAAGTGCCATTGGGAATCTCTTGTCCATTTTCTCCACAACAGCAACTAACGAACAAGACATTGAGTTGCCAAGGTTGGTTCGTAATTTAAGGAAGGGAGTTGAGGTGGCGTACAAGAAAGATCAAGTGGAAGAAAATGAATTGATCTTAGAAGTAGTAGAATCCATGAGAAAAGGGAAAAAACCATTTGATGATGAATATGAGAATGTGTATTCTTGTAGTAATGTTTGTAGATATCCATTCTATAATGTGGATTTTGGATGGGGAAAACCTGAAAGAGTTGGTTTACCAAATGGTCCTTTCAAGAATTTATTCTTCTTGAAAGATTACAAGATTGGTCGAGGGGTGGATGCGCGGGTAATGTTGCAGAAGCAACATATGTCTGAATTTGAACGCGATGAGGAGCTTCTTGAGCTTATTTCCTAATTGGTTCCAAGTTTTTATGAGTATCGTTATGGATTTCATATATGTTGTGATGGCTTTGTTTCGATTCATCTAGCTAATTAATATTTTCTAGTTCATCTTTGGGTGGTTCAATGAAATTGGTGGCTTTATGAATTATGTAAATGTCTATATTGAATAATATTAGTATTCTATGTGTTACAACTTACATGTGCATCTCGTGTGTCATTTAGTAACCATCTTTGCCGTTATACTAGATGTTTTTGTTGTAACAAGAATGAAGAATATAATTCAACAATTTATTTATGTACAAATAACATTATTTTTAGTATTAATCTTAGAGATTGTATCAAACAATTGTGAATTAGCAGAGTGTTTATATGTATGGACTCTTTTAAAATCAAGGAGAATTACGTACACAAACGTCCTGAGGTTTCTGCTTGTATGTATATCTACCGCCTACGTACTTTTATACCTTGTACTTCTGAAATGCATGCAGAGAGTAGTTTTTTCTAAGGACTTGCCTTGGGCAAATAACTATGACGATGGTAATTTACTTGTGGCACAAGTAAGTAAGTTTGATTGTGGGGAATAGCGGTCAGTATATGCTTATCGCAAAAGATTGGTGATGGTTTTGTTTGGATATGCGATTTTGACTTTTTATGTTGTATGTTTTCTCATAACATAAAAATTTCATAAGTAGTAAAACTATTAAAATTATCTCAATTCTTTATACAATCTTATCAAATAAGCAAAAGTTTATAAATGGTTTATAAGTAATGATATGAATTATAAATTTTATTTACATAAAAGATAAATGGTTAATAGATAAAAAAATGTGGGGTTGTTTTTACAAAATATAAATTTGTGGGTCAATTTTTGTATTTGAAAAATCCCAAATCATGATTTTTTAAGAATTTGATATTAAATCAGTGTAAAATCACATGTCCAAACACTGCTTCCATCTCATGATTTTATATCGGGATATCAAATCGTATGTCCAAATGCCTACTAAGTTATCCTTATTTATTATAGTAGATGTTTTTTTTTTAAAATTGAGCAATATATTTTTTAAACAAAATGTTCTTTTTAAAATTAGGCTATAGTTTAAAACTATTGACTACTTCAATTTTGAATTCTTAAGAAGTGATACTAATTATTTTAGGATATTTTTGTTAAAGCTAAAACCACTGTTAAAACAAAATGGAAAATATTTGTGAGGTTCACTTTTACTTATTCACTATTTCTCAACAGATTTTTATTAACCGTCACTTTTAACATATTGAGATTCCTTGTTTTACCTTTAGCATTGATTATTTATCCCCAAATCAGTTTGCAAGATGTAAACTAAACATATGTTTGTTTATTTGTGTCCGCCTGCTCTGTTTTTGCCTATTTCTGTGTCTAGTGAGTATTCCTCCCCATGATTTTTTACCTCTCATCCTATAATCCATCCCCCTCCTCTTCATCGTGCTCTGTGCGTATTTATGTGTGACTCGGTACCGCAACAATATTGGAGATCATAAAACGTTAAGAGTACTTACCATACGAACAATCCTCGTGTCTATATGTGTGGTTATAGAATTGAAGTGGTAAGCCAAAAAACGTGAGTATGTGTGGAAAAGTGTGAATGGAGTCATGTGTGTATGGTATGAGGTCACATGAGAGTTGTTTCCAAAAATGATATGAAGTGAAGGAATCTTTTCATTTTTATTTTATTTTCTCTTTAAACAGAGTAAACAAAAAAAACTATAGCAAGTCAAAAATTACGTGTCTATATATATATATATATATGAGAAATGGGGAAGCAAATCAACAATCTTAATTACCAGCATAGAGCTAATTACCTAAGGATTAAGTAGTGTTATCTGTTAAATTAATCATGGCTTTTGCATTATTATCATCACCATCACTTGTTTCAGTTTGTGACAAAACCTTTATTAAACCTTCTTCTCTCACCCCACCTACTCTTAGATACCACAAACTCTCTTACATTGATCAATTCCAAAGTAATATGTATATTCCTTTGGCACTTTTTTACCCTAAAGTACAACAAAGAGAGGAGTCAACTAATTATTCTCATAATGAACTATCCCATATAGCACACTTGCTACAAACATCTCTATCAAAAACTCTAGTCTCTTACTATCCTTACGCTGGAAAATTGAGAGACAATGCTATTGTTGATTGTAACGATATGGGAGCTGAGTTTTTGAGTGTTCGAATAAAATGTCATATGTCTGAAATACTTGATCATCCTGATGCATCTCATGCAGAGAGTACAGTTTTTCCCAAGGACTTGCCTTGGGCGAATAACTATGAAGGTGGTAATTTACTCGTGGCACAAGTAAGTAAGTTTGATTGTGGGGGAATAGCTATCAGTGTATGCTTATCGCACAAGATTGGTGATGGTTGCTCTGTACTCAATTTCCTTAATGATTGGTCTCGTATCTCTCGTGGTCGTATGACAACAACTTTGGCTCCTAAATTTGTAGGAGATTCTATTTTCTCGTCAAATAATTATAGTCCAATTATTGCGCCACAATTGTTGTCTAATGTCAGTGAATGTGTACAAAAAAGATTTATTTTTCCTACAACCAAGTTAGATGCACTTCGAGCTAAGGTAATCATATATACCACAAGTCCATTATTATTTGTTTTTATGGTCTTTTTCTTAAGATATTTAATAATTCAATCTATTTCAATTTATATGACATAATTTGAAGGTAGCAGCAGAATCGGGAGTAGAAAATCCAACAAGGGCTGAAGTTGTGAGCGCGCTACTTTTCAAATGTGCAATTAAGGCAGCATCAAGTACAACTACTTCAATGCTTATGCATCGTCCATCAAAGCTTGTTCACTTTTTAAACGTACGTAGTTTGCTCAAATCTCGTCTACCTCAAAGTGCCATTGGAAATATTTTGTCCATTTTCTCCACAATAGCAACTAACGAACAAGACATTGAGTTGCCAAGGTTGGTTCGTAATTTAAGGGATGGAGTTGAGGTGGCGTACAAGAAAGATCAAGTGGAAGAAAATGAATTGATCTTAGAAGTAGTAGAATCCATGAGAAAAGGGAAAAAACCATTTGATGATGAATATGAGAATGTGTATGCTTGTAGTAATCTTTGTAAATATCCAGACTATAATGTGGATTTTGGATGGGGAAAACCTGAAAGAGTTGGTTTACCAAATGGTCCTTTCAAGAATGTATTCTTCTTGAAAGATTACAAAATTGGTGGGGGTGTGGATGCACGGGTAATGTTGCAGAAACAACATATGTCTGAATTTGAACGCGATGACGAACTTCTTCAACTTATTTCCTAACTAGTTTTCAAGGCTTTGGGAGTAATAACGGCTCGATTCTGCTTCATGGATTTCATTTTAGTTGTGATGATTTTAAAAGTTAATTGAGTTTGTTTCCCTTCCTCTAATTAATATTTACTAGTCCTATGGGTCGGTTCAATGATATTATTGGCTTTATGTAAATGTCTATATTGAATAATACTTGTGTGTTGCATGCGTCACACGTGCATTTAATTTGTGTCTACTAGTAAAAAAAAATCAATATATATTGTCAAACAAGCATGTGTGAGGTAGTGATGACTGGCATAAAAACTATAGTTTATAGTAAATATTTTAAAATTAATAAAAACATAAAATTTATAGAGAAAAATCAATTCATAAACAAAATTCTTAAACTAATTGCGCAAGAAAATATAGTTTATACGTGAAATTAAATAAGCATGTCCACTTCTAAATCTACAACACAATATGAAATTAAAGAAGGAAGATTTCTCCACAATCAAGAGAAATGTTTTCTTCAAGATTTATGATATATTGTTAAATACTTCTTGGAGATTAAGTACATGACAAGAAATTTCATGTCTACATCCTTTGTCCAAGAAAGAGGTGATTAATTTAATTGTGGAATCGAAGTCGACAACTTAAAGACGAGAACAAAAATATGGAATTATCTCCAAAACGCATTATTTTTCGTTTTTCTTAAGGACCTTTTTAGTTATTTTATTTGTCACTTAAAATGTATTGGACATCAAGTAAAAAAATAAAAATAAAAATGAATAGCAACACATAATTAAAACTGTATTATAAATGTATTATACGTGTTTAAGTGGGAAAAAATGTTATTGATAGTAGTAAATGTTTTCTTGATATAACATATTTATGTTTTGAAGCCCGGCTAATCTGAATTTGAATTGAAAAAGTTTTACTTTTAAGTTTAATGGTGAAAATTTTGGTTTTTAATACTACATTTGTTTCATTTGATGTGTCTTATACTAAATTTTGGTTTTTAATACTACCTTTTGGTTATGAATAAAATCTGACATTAGAATCTTATTCTTATCCTTTCAAATTATTATTTTTTTAAATTAGGGGAGGACTAAAAGAGAGTAGTTATAATCAATGAACCAATTTGATTAGCTCAGTAGTTACATAATCTTAGCTTGTAACAAATTCCACAAAATTCAGTGTAAAAATTCAATAAATTAATGGAGCTTATCTTGAAACATCCAATTAGGCATTAGATCCTTCGGAGCCACAGAGAAATAGTCATTCTTTCAGCCTATGAAACTCCGTTCTCTTCACAAGAATTACAAAAGATCAAAATGAATACTAAATCAACTCTTAGCTTAATTATTATTTTATCGAGGGTTGCGATAGGATAGTTAGGATCCCTCTGCCTTTAATTAGATGTTTTGAGTTTGAAATCCAATAATATAGAACCTCTTGGTAAGGTAGCATTTTAATCTCCTCAGTTGGCTTATCCGATGTAAATCTAAATTAATCGAGCCAATTTCTGATTCCAGATATTTAAAGTGCAAAGAAAAAGAAAAGTTGTTCTTACCACCAAGGTGTATGATAGGATGGTTTGGATTCTTCCACCTTCAATTAGACGTTTCGAATTTGAAACTAATAATATAAAACTTGTTCGTAATGTAGCATTTATCCTCTATAGTAGATGCAAATCTGAATTAATCGAGTATGTGGATTTATGATAAACTTAGTTGTCCTTGTTGGAGCAAGATTCTTTAATTGTCTTTTATGAATAATAAAAACAAAGTGCACGAGCAAGGATTGAGTGTATGCAAGTATGATACTATAATAGTTTCTTCTTGTGTGCGTATATATACACATGTTATATTGAAGTTGGCAATACATCAAAGACCTTGTTCATATTAAGAAAATAATCATGGCTATAGCTCCATCACAACTTGTTTCACCAGTAACTGAAAAAATCATTGTCAAACCATCTTTACCCACCCCTTCTCCACTTAAATACCATAAGCTTTCGTTTATCGATCAATCGTTGAGTCACTTGTACATTCCTCTAGTATTTTTCTACTCTAAGCAACAACAAGAGTTTGATCAAGTAGCTAACAAACTACAAAATTCATTAGCAACAACTTTATCAGCTTACTATCCCTATGCTGGAAGAATGAGAGATAGTGCCACGATCGAATGCAATGACAGGGGAATCGAGTTTTTAAATGTTCGAATAAATTGTCCCATGTCCGAAATGCTGAACAACCCTCATGACTATGCAGAAGGGAACATATTTATGAAAGATTTACCTTGGAAAAATTCGTTCGATGGAAGCCTACTCGTGGCTCAATTAAGCCATTTCGATTGTGGAGGAATAGCAATCAGTACGTGTCTGTCACATAAAGTTGGTGATGGTGGCTCTGTTGCAAGTTTTATCTATGATTGGGCTAAAATAACTCGAAATCCAAATCAAATCGCTCGTCCCCAATTTATTGGTGACACATTTTTTCCAACCCCAAATGGACCTTTAATTGCACCATTGATTGATTCCAAATTGGAGAAATGTGTACACAAAAAGTTCCATTTCTCTGCCTCCAAATTACAGGGCCTTAGAGCAAAAATAGCAGCTGAAGCGGGGATCAAAAATCCAACACGAGCAGAAGTTGCGAGTGCACTTCTGTTCATATCAGCTACAAAGGCTGCATCGAAAATCAATAACACTTCATTCAGGCCATCTAAATTGATTAATTATGTCGATATACGCCCAATGACAACACCCCCTTTATCGCGAAATATTATAGGAAATCTCCTCACTGTGACTTCCACAACAGCAAGTCACGATGAGGAGATGAAGTTGCCAAGATTGGTTCGCGAATTTAGGAAGGAATTCGAACAACTATACAAGAAAGACCCTGTTCAGCACAATTCATTGGTGTTGAAATTACTTGAAATAATGGAATCACCATACGCGATTGACGAATTTGACACTTATTATTGCAGCAACATGTGCAAGTTTTCGGGTTATAGCATAGATTTTGGATGGGGGAAACCTGAAAGAGTGTGTGCACCAATGGGTCCATTCAAGAATTTCTTCATATTGAGTGCTGATCAAAGTATGGATGGTGTTGAAGCTATGGTGACTTTGGAAGAACAACATATGTTGGCATTTGAATGTGATGAAGAGCTCTTGGAATTTGCTTCTCCAATTTCAAGTTTCTAAAAGGAGTTTTTGAAAAGGTTCATCAACAATCTGCTTCCCCGAACTCTGCGCATAGCGGGAGCTTTAGTGTGGATGCAACCACTTGTAATTCTCCATTTACTCTTTTCGTCTTTCTTTGGTTGGTTTTTCTTTTCTTTGTTTTTCCAATTCCTCTAATCATTGCAATAAAAGGAGTATTCAAATATTATGTGTGTAATGCATTGTTTTCACCAACCAGAAAGCCACTAGCTGTCAATCCAATAACAAATAAATATACTACGTAGTACATAAGTGTAATTTTTACACTCTCTAATTATCTATACGCCACTTATTTTGAAATGGAGGGACTAGGTAATCATAATTCACATTTGACCTACATATTTATATTTCCGTCATTGCTCACAACATTATTCCTCAATCATCATTGAAAAATTCGCTAGCGTCTATGTTAAGACTTAAGATAATGATACTCCGCAATCATCAAATTCTGAGTCTGCCTCAAGATATTCTTGTAAGCTTTAGTTTAAAGGGAATATAATAAAGGAAAAACTACTTAATTACACAAACATTCCTACCATAGTTACTAATTTTTCCTAGAGTTTGAAATAATTATACATATTGTCCACGAACTGATAATATCATATTAAATTTCAAGTCAGATACACTTAGATACATGTATTTTTGCCACAAAATACACTTTGTAATTCAAATACATAGGGAGAGAGGCGAGTGAGAGAGGGAAAGAGACGAGCGAGAGAGTTGTGTATCCTAGATACATGCATATCACACTAGATACCTAGGTAGAGAGGCGAGAGAGAGAGAGGGGAAGAGAGGCGTGTGAGAGAGGAGGTAGGAGGGAGGAGAGATATGGGAAAATAGGCGATTAAAAGTGTCAGATACATGCAAATTCATTTGGATATCGTGTATATAGAATAAATTACACCTATTTTTGACCTCAGGTATTTGAGAAAGATGTATCTGGACGCGCAAAAGATACATGTATCTGGTAACCGAATTGACATAAATGGTTATTTTGAAAAGGAAAAACTACCTAACTACACATACATCACTACCATATATACTATAATTACCTCTAGTTTAAAACAATTACATATACTACCACTTTTAATATTTATATCACATATTTTAAAAAATTTAATTAGATACACAAATCTCTTAAATATGGTATTGGATAATTATCTTAAATTTAGTCTCCTTAATTAATGGTCCACATTAACAACTCAGAATTTTTATCACATAAATCTGTTCCCCACCCCACTTCCACTTCCACTTCCACTAACCCTCATTCTTCCTCCATCTTCTCCCTTTTTCTTCCTTCATCCTCTAAATACATATTTGCCTGTTCAAATCAGCATTATACATATATGTTTGTTTTTATTATTTTATCATTCTCATGTATCTTGGTTTTGTATCTGAGTTAAAGTTCATAATGTTCTGACATTCAATTTTAAAAAGTTCTACAAATTAGGTTTTATATTTTTTGATTTTGTTGTTTCTCAAATACTTTAATGGCTGGTCATTCTCAAAATCAGATGATTATTGTTAAAGGTACTACACATTAACAATATTATACTAAATCAAGCAACTTCTATTTGTTATTTTCACTCATGAGTTTTTCATTGTAGGGACTGACTCTTCATCCGTTAACATTCAAGCCGAGAATAGATCTAAGTATAGGAACGACTCAACCAAGAGGGAGGAGTTATGCCAAGCTTTACTTAACATAATAAATACACCATTAGATATGCAACAATGTTGGATACACATCAAATGTACATGTATCTAGTTAAGAGTTGATGTATCTAAGTTTAAATTATATGTATTTGTGAGAAAAAATTCAGATGCTAAAAAAAAGGAAGAATTTTGAAATTTTTTACTTTTTTTTTGGATTAGTGATAAGATAGATACTCTAACATCGTGAGTTGTTCCTAAATTCAATTGTTTCAATTACATTTCATATTTAGATACACAATTTATGTATATGCTTACAACTTACTATGTATTCGAGATACACGTTTTTGAATATAATGTATGAAATTGATATTTGATACATCAAATTAATACTAGATACATATGAAAGATATATGAAATTAAAATTAGATCATATAAAATAGATACATAAAATTAATAATAGACACATATAGCAAATACACGAAATTAATACTAGATACTTCTATTATACATATGAATGTACTTGTACGATACTCATGTATCTAAGTGTTTAGTTTGTAGGATACATCATCTATTGATAATAGATACATCAAATTAATGAATTAATTATTTTAAGAGTAATAAAATGAAATTAATCAAATTACATGACCAAGATATACATGTTTTTGTTTTTTATTAATAATAATATTAATTAATTTATTATTTCAAACAATAATAAATGAAATTAATTAAACATAAATACACTCCTTGATTTGTCCTATATTAAGAAGTTTGATTAATTTAATTTCCAGAATTAATATATTCTAAAAATCATCAATTACTCCTCTAATTAAGGAAATCAGTTACAATCAATTAATTTAAACAAATAAAATACGTATCTTGATTTTAAAATTTGGCAGATACATGTATCTCACAGATTCAAACTCATGTATCTTAAGTATGAAATATGGTAGAAGAAGTAATATTTGAAACTATCGGGAATCTTAGTAATTATAACCTAAACTAGTGGGATTTATGTAGTTTGCCCTTTTGAAAACTCACAAAAAGAAGGAAAATTTGTTTGGGCTCTGTAAATGTTGAAATTGAACCAATTGTGTTTGCGGCCCATAATATCAGCCTTAATATGTATGTGTCCCAATCCAAATAGGCCCATTAAATTACACCATACTCACTTCACCACAAATCAGTCATACCCAAATATCCAAAAACCCTAAACCCTGCTACTATATTCTTCCTCACCACCCTATATAATATTCATTCTCATTTCTATTAAAACCCTAGGAATCCAACCCTTAAACCCTACCTGAAAAATTACCCCCCTCCCCCCTAGCCGAAAGCCGCCATGACTGACGTTGAGCTCTCTCGTTCAGAGAAGAAGAAAAAGAAATCAAAGTCTGGCAAAAATGAGGACGAAACCCAAACACTATCCACCCAAATTGATGGTGATTTTCTCATCAAACCTCAAAGCTACACCCCCACCATTGACACTTCAGAATGGCCGATTCTCTTGAAAAACTACGATCGTCTCAATGTCAGAACGGGTCACTACACTCCTCTCCCGTCTGGGTATTCTCCATTGAAGCGTCCGCTTGCTGAGTATATAAGGTATGGTATTCTTAATCTTGATAAACCTGCTAACCCATCTTCACATGAAGTTGTAGCTTGGATTAAGAGGATCCTTCGGGTCGAGAAAACGGGTCATAGTGGTACTTTGGATCCTAAAGTTACTGGGAATTTGATTGTTTGTATTGATAGAGCGACCCGTTTGGTTAAATCCCAACAGGGTGCGGGTAAAGAGTATGTGTGTGTTGCTAGGTTGCATTCTGATGTACCTGATGTTGCTAAGGTTGCTAGAGCACTTGAAGCTCTTACTGGGGCTGTTTTTCAAAGACCCCCGTTGATTTCTGCTGTGAAAAGGCAACTTAGGATTAGGACTATTTATGAAAGTAAGTTGCTTGAGTATGATGCTGATAGGCATTTGGTTGTTTTTTGGATATCGTGTGAGGCGGGTACTTATGTTAGGACATTGTGTGTTCATCTTGGGTTGCTTTTGGGTGTGGGTGGACATATGCAGGAGCTTAGGAGAGTGAGGTCTGGGATTTTGGGTGAGAAGAATAATATGGTGACAATGCATGATGTGATGGATGCACAATGGATGTATGATAACTATAGGGATGAGACTTACCTGAGGAGGGTCATTATGCCATTGGAGGTAGTTTTGACTAGTTATAAGAGGTTGGTGGTTAAGGATTCGGCAGTTAATGCTATTTGTTATGGTGCAAAGTTGATGATTCCTGGGCTTCTAAGGTTTGAGAATGATATTGAGGTTGGAGAGGAGGTTGTGTTGATGACTACTAAGGGGGAGGCCATCGCGTTGGGGATCGCAGAGATGACCACGGCTGTTATGGGCACTTGTGATCATGGTGTGGTTGCAAAGATTAAGAGAGTGGTGATGGATAGGGATACTTATCCTAGGAAATGGGGCTTAGGGCCAAGGGCTTCAATGAAGAAGAAGTTGGTTGCTGAGGGTAAGTTGGATAAACATGGTAAGCCAAATGAAAAAACTCCAGCTGAGTGGTCCAGAAATGTTGTTTTATCCACCAAAGAGGATACTCTGGTTGCTGGTCTTGCTGCTGCTACTGTGAAACCTGATCCTGATGCAGTGGCTGCTGATGGTGCAGCAGGTGAGGTTGAGAAGAAAAAGAAGAAACATAAGGAAGATGATGAGGAGGCTAACAAGAGAAAGTTGGATGATTTAGATGTATCCCCTGCACCCAGTGCTTTAAAGAAACTAAAGGTAGAGATAGTCGAGGAAGCACTGGAGAAGTCTGAACTGAAAAAAGAAAAGAAGAAGAAAAAGAAGAAAGAAGCTGATGAAGCTGGATCCCCTGATGTAGAGTCCTTGAAAAAGGAAAAGAAAAAGAAGGACAAAGAGAATAATGATGCTGCATCTTCAGATGAGGAGAAGTCTGAGAAGAAGAAAAAGAAGAAGAAGAAAGATAAAGAATCAGAGAATGGTGATGTTGGAAGTGACAACGAAGGAAGTAAAAGCAAGAAGAAGGAGAAGAAGAAAAAGAAGAATAAAGATGCACAAGAGGAGTAGAGGTGAAGGTCTTCGCCTCAAATGAGTGCTCCTATGTATGTTAAAATGCATGTCATGTAGTTGTTCAAAATTTTGCCGTTTATTCACTTGTTTTTGGGCAGGAGTTTGTTGCAGCTGAAGTTCCTGATCATAGACGTGCTTATTAGTTAATTAGTTTTATCTTTTTATTTGTTAAGACTTGAGTATTTCAATCCATAAGGGCTGTTTTCAATCTTAATTTTGAGATGTTTTCTGTTTTTGCATTTTTATTGCCCTGTAGACGTCAATAGCTGAATCACAACTAATCACCTGCGTAACTGCCTTTGTTTGAAGCTGTATGGTGTGTATAGTTCTAGGGCAGGAAGTTCGCAAGGTGGTAGAAAGATTTTGGCCACTGTTTAGCACTTTCTATCTTAGAAGGGCTGTTCAAGTGTTAAACTATTGTTCTTCATTGAATCAATATACTTTGAATTTCAAAATGTGTTTGTTTTGGTTAATACTCAATAGTTTTGAACCCAGATTTGAATAGGTGATAATAATATATGCAACAGAATTTATACATTTGATAGAAGGGAAAACATAGGCATTAACCAAATAAACTAATAACAAAACTTCCGTCTGCCAAACGATCTTCATAACAAACTACAGTTGGATATAAAATGAGCAATCGACAACATCTCCAATAACATAGAAGGGCAAAAGTTATCCATACCAAGAGATTTATAACCAACCAATGAATGCAAGACATGCATCTTCATAAACAAGATTTATCACTTAACCATGACCAAGTGATATGCGTTCTTACTTTAATTTTTGTTCAAGATCAAAATTATTGGTTAAGCCGTTGAGTACTAGTGTGTGGAGATACTCTCACAACTACAAATAAACTGTAAACCAAATTAAGATAAAGCTCTTTATGCTATGCTTAAACACAACCTCCACCACAAGATAACCTTGTTTCTGATCATACAACTGAGTTAAAGGCGTATAACCCCTAGTCGGTGTGGTGGTAGAAAACCAATCACAAATCTGAAAAAATAGAAACTATTAGACATGCAAAGTGGAATTTAATATTTTAAAAAAGAGAACTAGCTAGTGAAATTCATCTTGCAAGAAAAAATTGCTACTGATGATACAAATAAACATTTGCCTTACAAGATAGTTTTTTGCATCCAACATTAATCTGATCTTTGAGGTTTATGCTGCAATTTGCCTTCACTTTTTTATGCTGATTAAAGTCCTTAGCATTAGCAGATTTTAGGTATATTGAGATATTACATCCCTTGGAGTTCGATTCATAAAAATTCTCGTAAGAAAAAAGAAGTTTTTGGCAGTCACTATTGAAATATGTTGTCATAAAATTTTGCAAAATATTTACATGCTCATATTCTGACCTTTTACACTTTACACTTTGCTTTCTCAATCAACTATTACCTTACTAAAAGTGCTCGTGTTAAATACAAAAAAAAAATGACTTTTACAAGAAAAATGAATAGTATTTAGATTTAACTCAACTGCTAAAGCTAACTATTGAGAAGAGAATTGTCAAAGACAGACCAGGGGATGAGGACACACATGAAGATTGTTTAGGGTGCTAATTCAAGTATAGAGAGATAAATGGCTTTTAAAACATTTATACGTTTAATGGCCTTTGCGAGTTCATCACCAGTGGCATAAACGGAGGGAGGCATATGCAGCAGCAAAAAGGCAATTTACCTCACTTCTTGGAGTTTCCAATTGAATCCACAACAAAGCTAATGCCACTATGCCTTCATGAATCAACAAGTCGTTTTCAATACAAAACTGCAAAAAGAAAAATGTGAACCAGGTCGACTGGACATAAGATTGCTACTTATTGTGCATGTGGTTAATGTAGCAACTTCTCAATCAACAGTTAGTTACACTATATTCTAACTGGGCATAATGATGCTTGCCACAGAGAGAATAAAAGACAGCATGTGGCATATTGAGCCAAATGCTTCCTCATCACATTCATAGAACTGATAGCTCATTTTTTCCCATTCTTGTAATACTAATCTACCAGTCATAGGCAAGAAAACTATCAAACAGACTTTCACATGTCACTTCATTTCAATACTTCAGAGGTAAGCCACTCTTTGGTAGCGATCAAGTCAGGCAGCACAATGGCACCAGATTTCCTCCAATCGACAGCATCAGCAGTCTTGAACCTGTCTAACAACAAAGCCTGAATCCCAACACCTCTCGCAGCTAAGTAGTCGTTCTTCAAGCTATCTCCAATGTGAAGTGCTGCTTCTGGTGCTACATTTCCTGCTTTCTTCAAAGCAATCTCAAATATCCTTGGATCTGGTTTTTCAACACCTTCAAGACCAGAGAATACGCCGAAATCCCACTCAGATCCCTGATTTTGGTCACACACACAAAAGGGTTCACAACTACTTCATGGTTTTTCAGTATTTATGGAAAAAAGATTAAGATCAGCCAAAAATTGTTAGAAGAAGAATGAGAACCATTGTGTATCTACCTGATTTAAGCCTAATGCAGGAAGAATCATATCACGATATCGATACTCAGCATTGCTGACCAACCCAACTGTAACATCCCTCTGGCGGAGCCATCTGAGGAACGGTATAGCATCAGGAAATATTCTATAAGGTGCAGCAGAACCAAAAGTAGCATATATGCGACTAAATATATTCTCAAATGTCTCATCATCATATTCATAACCTGCCTGTCAAACGAAAGGATACTCAATATCAGTAGAAACATAAAATAATTACAGTTCAGATCTCAAATCATAATTCTACAGTCGTATGGAAAAATTCTGAGATTATCTATGAAAATACTGACAACCAAATATCCCAAGATAATGTCATGCACAAATACCTTAACAAAGGAATCCCTGACACAAATCTTCCACCACACATAGTTAGGAATCTTATGAGCAAATCCAAAACATGGATGCTTCTTTGCCAATTCTGCATATGCTACTTTAAAACCCTCATCAACCCGCTTATAGCTAGGAAATGGATTCCCAGCAAGTTTGACTGACAAGCAATAAGAGTCAGCCAGATCTCCTTTGTAAGCAATAAGTGTACCGGTAATATCAAGTGTGATGCAGCGTAACCTCTTTAGAATAGACAACATTGTAAATGATTGTACAGAAAACTCTACCCTGTGTGTTACTATTTCACAGTCCTGCATTGCAATTTTCAGCAATTATGTCATACATATCATTAATTCAGTGACAAGCATTTATCAGATAAAGAGCAGCCATTGACACTTATACATCATGGTTTTCATAATATAAAACATACATTTTAGATATAAAATTTAGAGGACTACTGAACTGCATTAACCCTATTCACCAATTCTTTAATCCCAAACTACTTAGGATCAGATAAATGAGACTCCCTTGGATGGGAATGTCACATCATATGATGAACAACACCATCAGTTCAGCACGAGAGACAAGATCTTTCTTGTCAAAACAAACTCGTCAACCATTTGATTAATGACTATTTGATAAATCACACACGACTGACTAAGTTCTATTCCACTCCAGTTGAATTCAAGATTCAGAAACATCACAAGTCAATTTAGACTAAAAAATAATAATGAGATCATCTTCATATTGCCTCTTCCTAACAACAATAAAAAAGTAAAAGCGCTGCTACGGCATTAGAAGAAAAACTTCAGAACAAGAAAATCTAACAATTACCCAGATTAAAGCCTAACATTTCATTTTTCAATTTCAAGAATACGTACAGGCACAAAATCACTAAAAATGCAAGCTTTTCAATCCAACAATGGCTTCATTTGTGTGAACCCAAAGCTGTTGTTCATCTTTTACACAAGAAATGAGAAAATAAATGGATTAGAAGCATACCAAGAATTTGAAATGGATGAAAAAAGAGAAATTGTTTCAATGAAATCGTTATCTTCTCAAAGTAAAATCAGTTTATTGAAGCAGTTTTTGTATATTTAATGCATTTTCTCCCTCTGTGTCCGTTTTATAGTTAACTTTTAAAAAAATATTTGCACTGAAGTCCTTTAGGTTTGTTCTTATTACCTTTTGGATCTTGTATCACAAATATTTTGTACGTATTAAATTATTATTTTTCATTTATTTATTTATTTTAGAATAATTTGATGGAACATTCTCCCAATAGTTGGTTTTAAATGAATATGAAATAAGAATTATTTGCTTAAATTTACACAAAAATAGTGATACTATGATAATAATCAGCAGTTTAAAAGAAAATTTTATAAATGAAAGATCATAATTTAAAAAATGTAGATCAGTAATTGATTCTATTCAATATTGTTGAAGGATGAAAAGGGCAAAAGAGTACTTGTTTGTTGGGAAATTAGTTAGTTATAACTTATACTAACTATATTAAAAGTTAATTGAGCATTAGTTTTTTTTTATTCTTTAATCAAGTTCGCTATGGACAAGTGACTGTATAATTTATAAATACTCTCACCATGTATACAATCATACTAAGAAATATGAGTTAACGATAACCCAATAGTAAATTAAATAATTATATTTATATCATTTGGCATATAAAGTCTTTGACTTAGAGTTTGGTTTCATACTTTTTGTTTCTGGTTGTCTCAAATTCTCGATTATTCTATAATGTGATAGTGTTTACTTTTAAGTAAGATGCAATTTGTCAACTTAGGTGCATTGTTCATTTGGTTTGTCACCTTATTTTAAAGTGATTTTCATTTTTTTTGGTGTCAAATCTTAATGGTTAAACCAATAACCGATAAGTCAATATCTTAATGGTTTAGCATGTCTACAAACCAATAGTTGCCTTTGTTTGAAGTTGTCTGGTGTGCAAGTAATATCTATAGTTCTAGAGCAGAAAGTTTGCAAGGTGGTAGAAAGATTTTAGTCTCTGTTTAGCACTTCTATCTTTGAAGGGCTCTTAAACCACTGTCCTTCATTGAATTTCAAAATGTGTTTGTTTGGCTTAATACTCAATAGTTTTGGACCCAGATTTGAATATGTTGACAAGGAAAACAGATATATAGGTGCTAATATATGTGCAATAGAATAAAGTTAGCTCTTTGATAGTCTTATATGCAACTTTTGGTGTAATTGAAGTCATGATGAATATAGTTATTTCTTCTTGTCATTCTAATATTATGCAGATACAACGGCATCTGGCATATTGAACTAAATGTTTCCTCATCACATTCATAGAACTCATAACCATTCTTGTAATACAAATCTACCTACCATTATAGGCAAGAAAATAATCAAACAGGACTTTCACAGGTCACTGCATTTCAAATTTTCAGAGGTAAGCCATTCTTTGGTAGCGATCAAGTCAGGCAGCACAGTGGCACCAGATTTCCTCCAATCGACAGCATCAGCAGTCTTGAACCTGTCCAACAACAAAGCATGCATCCCAACACTTCTCGCAGGTAAGTAGTCTTTCCTCAAGCTATCTCCAATGTGAAGTACTTCTTCTGGTGCTACATTTCCTGCTTTCTTCAAGGCAATCTCATATATCCTTGGATCTGGTTTTTCAACACCTTCAAGACCGGAAAATACGCCGAAATCCCACTCAGATCCCTGATTTTGGTCACACACAAAAAGGGGTTCAACTACTTCATGGTTTTTTAGTATGTTTGGAAAAAGATTAAGATCAGCCAAAAAATGTTAGAAGAAGATACAATACAGAAAAATGAAATGAGAACCACTGTGTTACCTGATTCAAGCCTAATGCAGGAAGAATTACATCCCGATACCGATACTCAGCATTGCTGACCAACCCAACCGTAACGCCCCTCTCACGGAGCCATCTGAGGAACGGTATAGCATCAGGAAATATGCTGTAAGGTGCAGAAGAACCAAAAGTAGCATATATGCGTCTAAATATTTTCTCAAATGTTTCATCATCATATTCATAACCTGCCTGTCAAAAGAAAGGATACTTAATATCAGTAGAAACAGAAAATAATTACAGTTCAGAACTCAAATCATAATTCGACAGCCATACTAAAACGCTCTGCCGCTGTTCTATAATAAATTGAACAAATGGCTTCTGAGATTATATATAAAAATACTGACAACAAAATATCCCAAAATAATGTCATGCACAATACCTGAACAAAGGAATTCCTGACACAAGTCTTCCACCACAGTATGTTAGGAATCTTTTCAGCAAATCCAAAACATGGATGCTTCTTTGCCATTTCTGTGTATGCTAGTTTAAAACCCTCATGAACCCGCTTATAGTCAGGACATTGCTGCCCAGCAGCTTTGGCTGCCATGCAATAATAGTCACCCAGCTCTCCTTTGTAAGCAATCAGTGTACCAGTAACATCAAGTGTGATGCAGCGTAACTTCGTTAAAATAGACATTGTAAATGATTGTACAGAAAACACTACCCTGTGTGTTACTATTTCACAGTCCTGCATTGCAATTTTCACCAATTATCTCATACACATCCTTAATTCTGACACTTATAAACCATGGTATTCCCAAATAAATGTTTAACTCCATAATATAACACGTACATTTTCGGAAGCAATCTTATAAGGACACAAGTTGACCAAGGAATCCACAGAATGGGGTTTCATTATCCCAAATAAAAATCAATAGACACCAGTTCTCTCTCGAATGAATTTTATGCAAGTAGGGACTTCTGCTATTAAGATGTTCTTATGTTTAACTTGCTCAAGAATTGTAAAGGGAAGGGATGTAATTCTAAGATTCTCTAAGCATATACTAGTTCCAAATTGTGGCAACTAGTGAGTGTGAGGAACTCTTATGAGGGGAAAATTCACTGTGAAACTGAGATCGCTCCTCAAATATCAAAGTATAAGACCATGTCAAGTACAAATTATGAAACCAGAAACTCTTCAACACACAAAAGAAAAAGAGCCTTGTAACTGGATCCGGAGAACAAGATAACTGATATCAGTTGCTTATTTTAAGTACTACATAAACTTCACAACTTTCAAAGAAATGATACAATACCTTTGCGTTAATCAAAAGAGGTGGGTTCTAGTCCACACAAATTGATATGAAAAAACCTTTTAGGGGCTGGTGCCTAAAGCTCAGCAAAGTAACCCTAACAAATGTTTGAAGGAAGACTTCTTATAAGTGTTTAGAATGACACTGGAAGCCACATCCATCCTGCCCTTTTTGTTTGGTGGCTAAGCTATCATCTTAATTCTGCATGTATGATGGACATTTCCTTTAAACCTTATCATAACAATCATCTCTAAGAGAACCAAGGGGCCAATGGCAATATTTTAAGACATCAAAGAAGATGGCCGAGAAATCTACCATAAAATAGACATTATCTCCATGCTAAACTTTATACTTCAAATAAATCTATGTTACGTGGACTTTCAGTTGCCTTGACATACCTAGATTGAAAACTTGGTGTTAGTCCATCTAGATCCTTCAAGATACACTTAGAATTTGCTAACTTAGACCAGCTAAATGGATACTTAGTGACACATGAATCAAATATATCAGACCTAAATCCAGGTAACATAGGACTGAAAATTCTCATATATACACACACAAGAATATCTCCTAAAGGGGAAGGAAAAACGAAACAATCTAGGATGTTTGTAACCTTGATGCAAATGCATGAGTTCACACAGACATGGTATGAGCAGAAGGAACCAATAGACCAGTTGTAGGTCGATCTATGATCCAAATGTTAACCTTATGCACAGAATCAGTGAACCTGAAAACTACTCTATAACCCTAGTTTTCGTCTAAGATTATGCATTCCTCAGGAAATAAGTACCAGAAGATAAACTTATGAATAGAAAATATTCTGACCTGAAAATCCAGCAGTCAATTTAAAATTAGTTGCAAAATGACAGAAGAATTAAATTCCATAATTGATTAACCCATGTTCTGCCACTTCTTGGTTTTTCCTAAATACCAAGGGGCAAAATCTGATGCCTTACACAACTGATCATGTGGACGATTATTTCAGAGATATTTGTTTAAAATAACAAACATATCAGTTATGACAGTGATTTTAGAAGATATAAAACACCAAACATCTCTATTGATGTGCCACTAAACATCCACTCATCATCAAAACCTATTCAAAGACAGATAAACCCAAAAAGTTTGCACTTAGTCATAAACCTGCAAAGCTTCAGGTTTATAAATCCTGAACCTCAGTGAACCTGGCCAAACATCTCCATACCATAGATCAGTTTACGTATAAAATTTAGATGACTACTGAACTGCATTAACCCCATTCACCAATTCTTCAATCTCAACTACCAAGGATCACATAAATGAAGCCCCTAGGATGGGAATGTCACATCATATGACAGAATAACACCATCAGCTCAGCACAAGAGACAACTAAATCTTTCTTGTCAAAACAAACTCGTCAACTATTTGACTAATGACTATTCAATAAATCACACGCAACAGACTAAATCCTAATCCACACCAGTTCAATCCAAAGTTCAGAATTATCACAAGTCAATTTAGACAAAAATAAATAAATAAATAATAAGATCATCTTAATATTGCATCTTCCTGTTCTGTAACTGGGGTTCATCCAAAATGTGGTAATACCAAGAAAAAAGTAAACGAGCTACTAGGGCATTAGAAAAAGACAACCTTTAGAACAAAAAAACAATCAGCAGCAGATGAAAATCAATCAATCAATCTACCTCACCAAATTAACTCAGAAAGAAGCCTAACATTTCATCTCCAGGTTCATGAACACATACATGCACAAAAATCACAAGAAATTCAGGTTTCTGAATCCAAATATGGCTTCATTTGTGTGAACTCAGAAGCTGCTAGTCATTTTAACACAAAAAGATCAAATTTTTACGCAAGAAATAGAATAGAAGATGGATTTGAAGCATACCCAGAAGCTGAAAAGGATGAAAAAGAGAATCGCTTCAATAAAATTGCTATCTTTTCAAATAAAGCTAGATTCTTGAAGCAGTTTATGCATATTCAATTCATTTTGAAGCCTATTTTAGCTTATTTCCCAGATACAATTAAATGCATTTTCTCCTCTGTCTCACTTTTCCCCTTTATATAATTATAATATCTTGAAACGCATATTTGCATCGAAGTCCTTTAAGTTTGTTCTTTTTTACCACAAAAGAAGTTGGCACTATTTTGTAAGTAGTACTCCCTCTATCCTATTTTATACGAGGTAGTTTGACTCGGCATGAAGTTTAAAAAGAAATGAAGACTTTAAAAATTTGTGGTTCAAAAATAAATTATAAAAATTTGTGTGACTGTAAATCATTTTAAGGATAAAATAGATATTTTATAGTTAAATTGTTATTTAATATAAAATGTGTCATTTTTTTTGGGACTGACTAAAAAGGAAAGTAAATCACATAAATTGGGACAGAGGAAGTATTAAATCTTTTTATTTTCCCACTCGGTGTTTGATACCCACATAGGAGCTCGATTAAATTTGGATTCATATTGAAAAGTCTCACATTGAGGATAAAATGCTTCTTAATAAAGGCAATTACCGTTTTATTTTTCATTAGCATATTAAATTGAACATCCTCCCAAGTCCCAATAGTTGATTTTAAATGAATTATGTCTAAATTAACAAACAAAAAAAGTCGTGATTTAACTATAATAATCAATAATTTAAAAGAAAAAATCTTACTAACAAAAATTTGATTATTAAAATCTTTTATGATAATTTAAAAAATTGAGATCAATATTTAATTAATAATGATGCTTTTCTTCTTCTATGGAATGTCATTAATAAAATATTATTCAACTTTAGTTACACACATAACTCATGGAAAAATATAATAAACATTTCACATGATTTTATATTTGTGGAATAACTAACTCATAGAACGTGCATGTCAACTACTATGGTTTCACTTGATTGGTCTTTCAATAGAGTTAATCAATGCATTAAAATTATCTCAACATGATATATCATTTTATTGATGATTTAAATAAATAAAAATTATTTATTTAAATTGAACTAAATTAACCTTTTAATTTTTAAAAAATACAAAATAAAAACATAATAAGTAAAATGAAATATATAACAACTTTTATATTACTAATTCCTCTCCCAGTATGTAAACCAAACGATTCCGTATAAGTTAATTTTGCTTTTACTTTGTGGAAACTAATTAAGTATTGAAGTGTACAATTTCTTGAAAAGTAAGTAAAATTCGAAAAGTGAAGGGCACGTCTGCAAATCTTCTCGATAAACGAAGCAAAAGAAAACCATGGACGGAGTTTTTTTTCCAGTGGATTTTGTATTACCTAAGCCTTTAATAGCATCTAAATTTTAATAGCCTAAATTACTTTCACACATCAAATTTATTTCTGTTTTTTTAAGGGATATTCGGTATTTATATTAAACTTTGATTAAATTTAGATTTGTATAGAAAGTTTCACATTATGGGTCAAGCTGCCTAACAAAAATGACTTCATACTCAGGAAGAATCAAATCAGAGATCTTTGATTAAGGATGAAGGAGTACTTGTATTAGATGCATCTTGTGCACTTCGATTCCTTTGCTTCCATTATCGTTTTATTTTTTTATATAATTTTTTTGATATTATATTTTAAAATTAATTTTAATATATAGTTTTTAGTCAAAAGTCTATCAAAAATAAATCTATTTATTTTCATAAATAGGAATGCGGTTGTGTACACAACATCCATTCCAAATTTGTTATAAGATTATACTAAATATATATTGTTTATATGTACAAAAAATAATAATTCATTTTTATAATAATTTTTTATTTTATCTTTATTATAAGTATTTATAATCGCATAAATATTATATATCTTCCGTCTTTTATACTTGTCCTTCGTTAATTTGACACTTTTTTTAAGAAAAACTTCATTCATCTCAAATTATTTATCATGATTATCTTTTACACGTCACTTGTAAAATTAATTAGAAAGATCTTTTGACTATTTTAGTCTTATTTTTATTACCACCCTAATATTTAATTAAAAAGGTCTTTACTAAGTTCCTTTTTAATTTAGATCAGTAAATTTGAACCAAAAAGTACAATATCACGAAAACTAAACTCATTAGTCACTGGCCTCTGATTTAATTTCCTAACTAAAATGGTCTGTTAAAGCTAATGGTAAAATTCAATTCATATGTGATTAAATAAGCGGCTCTTCCATTGAAAGTTAAAAAAGAAAGAGAACTTAAATATGAAATATTTTTCTATAATTTATTAGTAGTCAAATTTAAGTTCACTATAAATTTCATATTTTTCTAGTAGAATGACCTGTTAAAGTCAATAATAATGTCCAATTTACATGTGATAAAAACAAGTGGCTCCTCCATTAGAAGGGAAAAAATAATTTAAAACAAGTGTATTATCATTTCGATAATCCTCCATTAGAAGTCAAAAAGAAAGAGAATTAAAATACAAATTTTTTATTATAATTTATTGATCAATTTAAGTTCATTTTGAATTTTACTATCCAAGAATGACTTGTTAAAGCCAATAATGATGTCCATTTTACCATAAGTGGTTTACATAGACATAACAAAACAAGTGCTCCCTTGAAAACTAAAAAGAAAGAAAATTTAATACGAAATATTTTCGATAATTATTCAAATAATATTCATCAGAAGTCAAAAAGAAAGAGAACTCAAATATAAAATATCTTTCTATAATTTATTGAATCTAAAAAATTAACTCCATGTTCTAAAATGGCATGTTGACGCTGATGATAAATTGATAGTATCCATTTTACTATAGGTAGTTCACATCACATGTGATAAAACAAGTGCTCCATCAGAAATAAAAAAGATTAGAAAACTTAAATATTAGTATATCTTCTATAACCTTTCACATAATCCTTCTCTAAAAATAAAACATAAAGAGAAGTTAAAGACAAAATATTTTTCTATTATTTTAATTCATTTTGAAAGACCAATTAAAGCCAATGATAATCCCCAAAATACTCCGTCACAAGTTAAAAAGAAAGAAAACTTAAATACGAAATATTTTTCAATAATTATAGATAATTATCTTTCATTTTAAGTAAAAAAAGAAAGAAATAGAACTTAAATAAGAAATATTTTTCTATAATCATTTGGTATGCGATATTTACTGGCAGACTAATTCAAATTTACTTTAAATTTTATGTTACATAGAATTAATTAATTATAAATTTGTGAATATAAGTATATTATTTACCACAAAACAAATTAAAAAGAAAAAAAAAAAGAGAAACTTGGTGGGCTATAGCCCAAATATAAAAGGGGTAGAGTGCTCCGGTTGAGCCCAACCCAATTATAAAGAGATGGGCTTGACCCTAATTTGACTTGGATCTGTTGCTTCTTCTTCAATGGCAGTCTCCATCATCCCCACCTTAAACCCTTGAAAACCCCAGGAACTTAATTGAAAAGATTTGCCAAATTGATAGCTAAATTTTGTTAACTAGGGTTCAACTTCCACATGTATACTGATCAGTAAGTGGTAAACAATGCATTATCTTAATAATTTCAAGCGTGTCTCCCAGATGTTTGATAAAATTCCTGTGAGAATATTTCAAGATTTTGATCCAATTGAACATACATTTGTATGTAGCATATTACATGATTTTTGTTTTGTTTTCATATGTTAATGTAGAAATGGTGGGAGAGGATAAAGCTGAGCTAGGGGGTTTGCTTGAAATTCTACCCCCTGTTGAGTTCTGCTGTATATATGGTTCTAAACTCCATCCCAACAACAAAGATGAGGTTTTTTCTACTTCTTTCTGATAATGAATTCCACTTATGGTTTTGTTTGATCAAGAAGTTCTATAAAATACTGCAATATTACATTACTAACAACTTCATTGCTAGACATCTATGACAGATTACATAATTGGAGTATCTGATCCTCGACAATGGCATTCTGAGGTAATTGCTGAATTTTAAGCAACTCTCTGTCCATCTTTGTTGTCAAAATCTAATGTCTTTCTACAATCCAGAATCTAAAATTGAACAAGGATCACTATGCTTCGTGTCTCATCCGCCTTGGTGGAGCAAGGATGGTGCTATTTCCTTTCTTGAATTAACTTTGATTTCCCTCATTTCTTTGCTACTTCATATATGTTTTCCGTGATAGTCTTACATTTCAACTCTAACTAAAGAACAATTTACTGTGCATTGTGTCAGATAACTGATATTGCAAATGACATTGGTGTTGGCGTACACTTCAACCCATTTGTGTCTTGCAACAACAAGGTATTGACCATTTAATGAAGATGCACTTTCTATTAACACATTAGTAATTTCACATTAAGTAACTTTTACAGATGGTCAAGTATGGAGTTGTACGGATGCATGACTTGATTGAAGACATATTGGGATGGGAGAGGTTCTATCTCAGCGGTCGTTTGCAGAAACCAGTATGGCTTGTTTTGAACTGCTATTTAAATAACATATTTTACAAAGGACTTTGGTTACAGTATTAGTTACATTGTTAAGGACCGTTGAATGAATTTAAGTTGGTTGGAATCTTTTGCAATCCTTTTGTGCCTGTTAGTCATTATTGTCGTACTTCTAAGTCACATGAATTTAATTTCTGCTGTAATGAATTTAATTGATGGTATCAGGAATAGGTTTTTATCTATGACTGACTTTCCTGACTCACTATAAATACCTATCAGTCAAAGAAGCATGAAATCATCATTTAAGAAGTAGCTTGATATATGATGTTAGCTTACACTCATTTGTATAACAAAAGTGACAAAAACTTGGTAATGTTTTTATTCACATTAAATGTGGTTAAATAAGCTTACGTTGATTAGGATAATATCCATGAGTTCTTGTATGTTCTCTTTGCCGTAGGATCTCACTTTGGTGTTACCTAGAGATATAAGGATAAAGTCAGTTAACTTTCTCAAAAAAAGAGATATAAGGATAAAGAGTTATCATAATAACTTTGTATTATAATCCTATCTAATATTTCCTCCCAAAAAAATTATAATCTTATGTGGTATCGATGCTAAATAAGTGTACTCGGGGTTGCTCAAAGTATGTCATAATATAATCGATTCTGGCTTGAAACTCTATGTATATCTCAGGCTGCATTTTCTTACAAAACAAATTAGCATGTGCTTTTGATATTTGATGGCACACCACTGCTAGCTTTTAAGCTCTCGCTTCTATTAACCTGAAAATGAAAAATCCATTCTGTCATATGGAGACATGAAAAGTCAAGTGAGTGCGTATGGTAACTTGTTGTATCCTCAAAGATATTCCTAACAGAAGCAGTTCACTCAGACATTTCTTGTGAGTGTTAAAAAGAAGAACTTCAGTTGGAAATATTCAAATGAGATGCTTTGTTTTCTTCTGTGTATGTCTGCGCAAAGATTTTAGACTTTAACAAACTTGACATTTGACCACCAAAGCTGTATGTTGCATCAGATTTACAACTCATTGCAAAATGGAACCTGCATCCCCTACTCCTGTCTGGTTTTTAGTTTCCTTCTTAATCGCATTAGTTTGGTGGCTTAATACCTATTGCTTAATTTTTATCAGACATTTATATGCTTTCTAGCTGGGCAGTCATGGGCTCATGGCTGAAATTCTGTGCTTCCTGAATAGAGAGTTTAAGTCTACTGTGGACTGAAAATATAGAAATGCTCCTGATAAAAAATATAAAAATATATAGAGAGGCCGTCTGTTTCTCTAAATTATATTATATGATGCATTCAACAGATATCGCTCAACTGATTTTTAGTTTCATACTCAGCTATAGTATTCTGAATTTCTTTAATTGACTCCATTTTTGCTTGTAGTGGTGAGTCTGGTGACTGTCCCTCAGCCATAACTTACATTTATTCTAACTCAGGTGAACATTCTTATGGATAACTTGGATATAAAAAACGTGAACAGTGTGAACCTGAAAGCTGCAACTTCTGCTGCTCTTCTCCTTTTGCCATCAAAATTCACGGAGGTTAGTCTCTTTATTCATTTCTGATTTCTTGTCAATTAGTACAGGAACATAACACATGCCACTTGGAATTTGGTGTTTATGCAGGAAGATTTATATGCCAAAATTTGTAGCCTCTCATATACAGGTGACTTGCGTATGCTTTTTGCCGAGGACAAAAATAAGGTAGATTTGACATTTGAGTGGGCCTAAATTTTAGATTTTTGTGGCCCTAACTGTACCACATGAAAGTATCAATCTACATATAAGTTCATAGTGTAATTGGGTAGTTTCTCAATTTTTATAGTTTTATATTACTTCCAGCAGATCAATGAATATCGATTAATTTGTATCTCATATCTACAGAATATCCTTTTTGGACTAGAATTTGAATCTCAACTTTTAGCATAGTATCCCATAGTGCATATGCAACTTTCATGCCACATTAAGTGATTGAATTGATTCTTCCATTCTGTGTACATGAATATCTTCACTGTGTATTGACCCAGGTGAACAAAATTGTACAAGGACAGTTCCATTTATTTGAGGAAATGTATAAGCCATTTCTGGAAGAATATGAGGCCAAAAACTTGTTGAGATTTTCATTAGCTGGTGATAAGCAAGTAAACATATTTCAGGTCTCTCTCTTTTCTAAAGCTGGTCTCTTGTTGCTTCCTTGACATGGTTAATTGTCCTGAATGATGCTGATAATTCTTTATTAATCAATGTGTCTTACTATGGGAGCATATTTATATCGACGATAAAACACGTTTTTTCTACTGAAGCATAAATAATCAGTATGGTGTGAATGGGTGATCAAGAATATACAGCATGAGACATGCTAATGGGGCCCTTATGTTGTTGCCTGTTATTTACATTTCTGATGGTAATTTTCTGACTTTGAATGGTAACCTCTGTGGTCAGTGAAGTTCATCTTTCTAGTCTGAACATTTCTCAAATAGCTTTGAAGTCATTTGCTTTCACGACTTGTCAAGTAGAGTTTTGGGCTTCACAAGTTTCCTTGCATGAAAATTAGTTAGTAATTTTACATGATTACAATTTGTACACTTCTCTGTTCATTGAATCAATCTTGATCTATGATTTTTGGTACATCTATATGAGATTCTTTGACTACACAAGCACATCTTTTCTTTCTGATTGATCCAAGGTGATTGATATTGATTACACCTCTGTTGAGATATGTAAATAGGAAAATCAAGGTCAAGTTAATCTCAAAGATTGACATCTTTTTGTGTTATCCAAATCAGGATTGTGGATTATCTGCTGCTTCCACCTTGGTTTCTTCCCTTCCTTCATCAATCAGAAGTGAGATGGCCATGAAACTTGGAGATAAAAGAATTCTGGATGACTCTGGTACGTAAATCAACTGCAAAAAGAGTGAGTTTTCTGGAAAGAAAATAACCTTAAAATTTTTCCTGTTCTTTCAGATTTTTTTTCTTGTTAGTAGTTCCTGTTGAATTGTGTCTAACTGCCTCATTAGTGAACATACACTTCTATTTTAATTATTTTACGTCTGTAACTCTCACGCTTAGATCCGGATGCCATGTTGGATTGTGTGCTTGTCTCATCTCTAGAGAAAAGTTACTTCTATTTAGTTATATTAATTGTTATGATAAGCTCTTCTAATGTTCCCTCCTAAGCTTAAGCAAATCATCTCACCTATGCCATATTTTCTTGTAGGTAGAGTTAGACAACAAGTAGTGATTGGTTCAAAAGAACAGGCTGCTGAGTGCATGAAAAGGCTAGTTAGACGTAAGGTTATGTTTTCTAGCACAAGGCAGGCTGTTGCAGGTTTATTGACTGCTGGTGCTGTTCATGGAGTCAGATATGTTGCAAACAAGATGCACAAGGCTTGGAAATCTTGGGTGTAATTGTTTCCTTTTTTTGGGTGGCATCACGTCTTTTAACTGCTTCAGACATGGAGATATAGCCACAACCACGGTTACACCTAATGACATGCGGTTCAACCATGGAGTCCTTAGCATGGATAGACTTTGCCGACTCTCCTGTTGCTTTTTCAAAATAAGCAAATAGAATAGAGGGGGAAAATAACCAACAACCCATCAAAAAATTTCTTCTGAAAGTTTTCTGTTCACTTGTATCTTTTCTTTTATTTATTTCAAAGGTGGGAAGAGTTCTTCAGGGAAGGTCAAGCTGTTGTATGATTTAGAACATCCTAGTGTGCCAGTTTTAAAGAAGTTAAATCAATGGTTCTAAACAAAGGAATTGCTATTGTTACTCTCTGTGTGTGTATTATTTTTTCCTCTTCACAGAGGACATGTAAAAGTGTTCCAAGGTTCATGAATTGATCATCATGCTTCATTAGGTATGTTTACATCTCCAATTTATTCATTTACGTATGATTTCCTTCTATTTCTATCTTATGTTTTTCCTTGGAATTTTCTTCCAACTCTGATTTTCCAGTTACCTTCAAATTGGAGCAAGTTGAGCAGAAGGTGGAATTGTTCAAATTTTATCTCTGCCCCCAAAGGGCCAAATTGAACACAAGGTGCCAAGTTTCTGAAGAAAGTAAATCTCCTCCTACTTTTGGAGTTAATGGCCGATGGAGTATGGCATAATAAGAAAGCTACCCATCAAAATCTTCAGTTTGTATTTTCCTTTTAACTTGTTCAAAGTTTGGCACATCACCATGTCAATACTAATAATTTCTTCTAAAAGTATCAAAGTGGCTTTATTGATTTTAATATTAAAGATCAGTTGCTTAGTTTTAGGACAAAGGTATGAACGCATCTCATTAATTAAGCAAGGATAGATTCTTGAAGAGAACCAAATCTGCAGTCAAAAGATGATTACTATAACGACACAGTATCAGGAGTATGTGGATATGATTCCAATAATGTTGCAGAAATCCTTCAGTACTGCAGGTGACTGGTGATATAGGCCAAAAAGTCCAGCCTGTTGCTCTTCCTAGTTCCAGGCTAATTAATTAACAGACTGTCCTATCTCTTTCGACATAAAACTTACCGTCAGTCCAAGGGAAGTAAAATAGATTGTTGATATTTTCAACATAGATGCAATCAATAATACGCAACTACTGTAGTATCTATCCATAAATCACATGCCCAATTCTCCATTGGATGTGCGTGTCTTGACTATATGGCATAAAAAAGAAAAGGACTTGCTTGGAAAAAAGTAACATTTGACTCATTGGCAACCTTATCAATAACAATAATTGAAGATATGGGAGTCCATCCATAAAAAAAAATGAACCTATAAACAGCAGTAGCATCCCAATGAGCTAGTAATTACTAGCCATCTGTAACAGTAGCATAACAGTAATAGACTCTACTGGTGAAATGGGAGATGAGATACAGCCAAGAAGTTATTGGAGATGGAGCAAACACGATTTCTTCCCGGGAGATTCTTTCCAGAATTGGAGCGCATACCGATCAGCACTGTCACAAACATTTACCAGATTGAAGGACCGAGTTGCATGCCGTTCTGAGGATGCTGATGAGATTGTGGAGCTAAGGAAAGAAAGTGAGAATGAGATGAAACGTTGCCTTAGTTGGTGGGACCTCACCTGGTTTGGCTTTGGCTCTGTTATTGGAGCCGGCATCTTCGTACTCACTGGCCAAGAAGCTCATGAACATGCCGGACCAGCTATAGTTTTATCCTATGTGGCTTCTGGCATTTCAGCAATGCTCTCTGTTTTCTGCTACACAGAATTTGCAGTAGAAATTCCCGTAGCAGGAGGGTCATTTGCATACATCAGAGTAGAACTGGGAGACTTTGCAGCCTTTATCACAGCAGGAAACATAATTCTTGGATCCATTGCTGGTAGTGCCGCAGTAGCAAGAGCCTGGACTTCTTACTTTACAACTCTCTTGAATCGTCACCCAAACTCTTTACGTATACATACAAATCTCATAGACGGGTTCAACTTACTAGATCCAATAGCTGTTGCAATTTTAGCAATTACATCAATAATTGCAATAAGCAGCACTAGAAGAACTTCATACTTCAACTGGATAGCATCAGCAGTAAATATGGTGGTGATTTCATTTGTCATAATTGCTGGACTTGCTCATGCCAATACCTCCAATTTGACACCCTTTGCGCCACATGGTGCCAAAGGTATCTTCGTTGCAGCGGCAATAGTGTATTTTGCATATGGGGGTTTCGACAACATTGCAACCATGGCAGAGGAAACAAAAAATCCATCGAAAGATATACCACTAGGGTTGCTAGGATCAATGTCAATTATCACTGTGATATATTGCTTGATGGCACTTTCACTAAGTATGATGCAAAAGTATACAGATATAGACCCTAACGCCGCCTACTCTGTTGCATTTCAAAGAGTGGGGATGAAATGGGCAAAATACCTGGTTGCCCTTGGAGCTCTGAAAGGAATGACCACTGTCCTTTTGGCAGGAGCAATTGGACAGGCACGCTATGCCACTCATATTGCACGAGTTCATATGATTCCACCATGGTTTTCACTTGTTCACCCAAAGACAGGAACTCCCATAAATGCAACTCTCTTGATCAGACTTGCAAGTGCCTGTATAGCATTCTTTTCAAGTTTGGATGTCTTGGCAAGTTTGTTATCTATAAGCGGCCTTCTAATATCCATGATGATGGCTGTTGCTCTGCTTGTGCGGAGATACTATGTCAGAGGTATCACCCCCCGGACGAATCTTTTGAAGCTTACCTTCTTTCTACTGGTCATAATTGTATCCTCCGTTGGGACTTCTGCTTATTGGGGACTGAACCCTAATGGTTGGCTTGGTTACACAGTAACTGCTCCCCTTTGGTTCCTGGCAACCTTGGCAATTTCGGTTCTTTTGCCACAGGATAGAACACCAAAAGTCTGGGGAGTCCCACTGGTTCCTTGGTTCCCATCCCTCTCAGTTGTAATAAACGTGTTTCTCATGGGATCATTAGGAGCTCAGGCATTTATAAGGTTTGGCATATGTACAGTTGTAATGCTGATATATTATATATTTTTTGGCCTCCATGCAACTTATGACATGGCTCATCAACCAAAGAAGCCAACGACTTCAAGGATCTTAGAAGAAGATATAGGAAGCGCTAGGGCATAAGTTTTTTTAGACCTATGATAAAATCTGGGACTTGAGTTCCATCACACTTAATCCTGCAATCATAAGATTTATGTTAGATGAAGTCATCACTGATCAGACAGAATCCTATCATTATGAATAATGAAAACTGTCTACCACAGTTCATGTTAGAGAAATACATTCTCGAAAATTTCAATGATAGTCAAGTGATTATTGATCCTTTTATTCATTTTAACTTTGAAACCAAGAGATATATTAGCAAATGCTTATCCTACTTCAATTTGGAAAATATTAAGAAATAAAAATACTTCCCAGTTTATTAGAAAAAAGAACTTTATCGTTATCTAAATGAAAATTAATGATGGGTTACTTTGATAAAACGAGTTTAAAGACAGAAAAAATTACTTCCCACTTTTTTATTAGTTAAAAGGATTTTAAAAGAAAAGAAACAAGAGAAATGTTCTTTAAAAACAATATTTTTATTAGGTCCAAAAGTGCCCCTGTTATTAATAGTTTGGCCAAAAAAATGCTAACAATAGCAGCATTTTTGGACCAAACTATTAACGGAGGACATCTTTGTTCAATTTTGCATAGTCTAAGGGCATTTTTGACCCTTTTCAGAAAACAAAAAAAAGGAGAGATGCTACAGGAGGTAAAGTAAGAAAGTAAACTTCAGCACATAGGAAACATATTCTAAAACAAGAGCAACGGTAGGTTACATATTGCAAACTCACTTCAATGAACCAGTAGAGTTTGTACCCTTTTTATATTTTCTTGAAATATTCTAAAAGCCAAGCAATGTTTCTTAGAAAGTGTCTATACCAATTCAGGCCACATATCTGAAATAAGTTAGATCCACATTATTCCAATAAAAATCATGTCGACTCTACTTCATTCCAGTCAAAAAAGAGCATATTTGATGGATAAATAAACCCAGGAAATGTTAAGCATAATAATTCAATAACTCAGAAAGAAGATCTGAATTCTGAAAACTTTCAAATGAATATTACCAGATTAAACAGTAATATCATTCACTGCAACCACTGAAATTGTCATCTTCTACTGCTTTTCATGCTTCAACCTGAACTGTCATTTTCTACTTGGTTGCAATCTTCCATATGCAACCACCACGCTCACAATATTTCTTTCACCCACCATTGTGATCCCAAGTTAGTTGCAAGCAATAATAATTCTACAATAGCTCTACCACAAGAAAACTATTTTAATATATGCAAGATGCACCGTCAGATCATTTAGTTCCTTTACCAATAGAAAACGGCAGATATTAGTATGAACATTCACCTAATAACACAGTATATAGTAAGGGAAATTTAATTCACATGAGTGTAGAAAGCACTTTTAGTTGTGAAGTGGAAAGGTTGAGAGAGCAAGGTTAGAGGAAACGCACAGAAGAGAGATTTGCAGCCTGGTAGTACTGTGTTATGAATTCAACAAGATCAATACCTAGTAGCTTCAGCTCAGTGATAGTCACTCCGTAACAACTATCCTTTGTTTTGTTATTCCTATCCAGTTGTCTTTTTTCCCTAAGAAAAATGTTTTGTTGATGTATAGGGATAAAGCACAAGTTATACTAAAGATAGACAATTTAATTGCTCTTTTGTAGCACACATCTAGAGTAACTTTGAGCATTATTAAAAGCTGCTTTTGACATTGAAATTGTTCGTCTCTCTTGCACTTCAAAATAAGAACTTGTCCATGATTAGCACCAATTGGCAATCTCTCTATACAAAAGGGTGCTTTCAGATAAAGCCGCGGATTATTTTTTTCTTGTTGGTAGAAAGCACAATGGTGTCCATTTTTTAATATCTTAAAGTAATGCATTTCTGCTACATTATCAGTTAAATACAAAATATCTACAGCTTATTTTAAATCCAAAACATTTATTTCCCAAGAAACAAAATACATTAACTTTTGATGCTAACATCTTTCCAGAAAGATCCAAAGATTTGGCATCAGCATTTACACTGGACTTTGATTACCCCTCTATTCACTCTCTCTCTTACTTACCACAGGGAATATTATATACAGAAAAAATAAGCAAACAAAATTTTGAGCTTACTTTCATAAGCCATACACATCAACTTTGTTAGCATTTTCAAACTCCCATAATTTAACATTCCAGATACGTCTTGATACAAATTAAAACAAAGAGGAAGCAAAAGGTAAATAAGAAATGTAAACAACTATAAAAAAATTGCTTAAATTAAACTCTTTTTAGACTCTAAAACCGTTTCAAAATGATCATGCATGGCTGGAGGTATTGAAGTATCATCAATATTCAAAACTGGCGCGTAACAATTTTGTTGATTAGAACTTTTAGATTTCAAATCTAACAGATCGATAAGAAAGTGAAGAAGAAAATATTCAATGACATGGAAGCTTTCTTTTAATATCCTTTTGATGAAGTTAGTAGTTTCATTAATGGCATCAAGAAGATGCAAGAGAGTACAATATGTAAGATTACAACTACAGGATGTTAGCTCCATTACATAATAGGCTATGCTAAGACCAGGGAGCTAGCAAAGTTCAAAAAATTGTCACAGGAAACTACAGGGGATACATCTTGCTCTTTAATATCCTAATGACTTAACAATGCTAGATAATCATAATTGAGAGGTTTCTGTATCCATTCAAGAGGTTTATATAATAATCGATAAAATATGTCATTTTCTGTTAGATACATGTGCAACAGACATGCATTCAAACAAACAGAAAACAGAACGTTAAATTATGGATGCAAGTGTCTGTTCGGTAATAGCAGTCATCCTGTCATTGTGTAATTGTTTGATGTATCAAGCACAAGGATCCAAATTCTGAAATGTACAGAATGGATCTTCTGAAAGAATCTCACGTCCATGTCCTCTTTAGTCCCTTAGGAGCAATATGCCCACGGGAAACAAAGGTTCAGGATATTGCATTTTTGCAACCAAAAAAAAAAAAAAAAAAAAACTAACCTCTAATATCAGATGAAAAGGTCACTCCAACACTTGTTAATAGCTCCTTGAACCTTCTTTGGTTTGCAAAGTTCTCGAATAATCATTTCCCAAGTGGACGACTTGGGATAAAGAATTTTTTGAAGCATCACTTCTATAATTCTTGAAGCTCCTACGATTCTCTGCCGCCTGTACAGTTGTAGCACCAGCTTATCCAGAAAGTCTTCCCCATCTTGGGATGGATTTGCTTTGTCATTTAAGGTTTTCAAGAAAATATTACATGTAATTGTGTCAGGATCACAACCTCGATCCAACATGGTATTCAAAAGATCAATTGCTAGAGAAATTCTGTCCACCTTGCATAAAGCATTAATAATTATGTTATATGCTATTACGTCAGGCTGAGAATTAGATCCTCTACATTGCATCTCATTGAAGAGTCTCAATCCCTGGTCCACAGAACCAGCATTGCAAAGGCCATGAATCATTGAACTATAAGCCACGACATCAGGGACCAATCCTTTGCCTAACATGTGCTTCCACACCATCATAGCCTCTTTGAGCTTCCCATCTTGACACAGGCCATGGATAAGTACACTGTAGCAGATTTCATTGCATGTGATACCACTGGTTGCCATGTCTTTCCACAAAAGTATAGCCTTGTTGCTGTCACCGGTTTTAAAATAACCTTTCATCAGAGAGCAGTAAGTATAAGCATTGGGAGTGCAACCCATTTTATTCATCTCAGAAAGGATCTCCTTAGCTTCGTCAGGTCTGCCTTCTCGACACAAGCCATCTATAAAAGCAGAATAAGCAACTGTATTAGGCTTCACTCCCTTTTCTATCATTTCCTTCCATATTTTTAACGCCTCTTCAGGTTTGCCCTCCTTGAACAACCCACTAACCAGTGCTGAGTAGACATATTCATTTGCCAGATGCCCTTTCTCCTGCATTGCCAACAAGATCTGCACACCATCTGTGGCTCTTCTTTGCTTAACAAACCCATTGATAATCGTTCCATAGGTTATATCAGTTGGTATATACTTATTTGACACCATTCTATCCAATAAACTAACTGCTTTCTCCAATTTACCTTTCAGGCACAAACCGTGTATAAGTGTGTTATAAGTCACTTCATTTGGAACACACCCTTTAAGAAACATGTTATCCACAAGCTTTGCAGCTCGAGCCAAGTCACCTTTCCGACAAAGCCCATTAATCAACACATTAAATGTCACTGGAACAGGAAGACATCCCTCTACCTGCATTTCATCCAAAAGAATAACTGCTTCATCAATCCGGTCATCCTTGCACAACCCATCCATCAAACTGCAGTATGTATAAACATCCGGCTCACATTTCCAAGTAGGCATTTCTCTAAACACCTCCATAGCTCTATCGACCATCCGAAGCTTACACATTGTCTTAATAACTAAATTAAAAGAAAGCACATTTGGCATAACATTCCTATTATTCACAACATCAGCATAAAAATCTAAAGCACGACGATATAATCCTGTCTGAACTATCACATTAAGAACAGAATTAAACGACTTCACAGTTCGTTTACATTGAAACTCATCCACCATTCTTTCAAACAATTCAACAGCTTTTTCAGGCAAACAGGCTTTTCCATAAGCTCTAAACACTAAGATAAAACTCTTCTCAATAAAGACTCTTTTTTCACACTTCATTCTATCAAAAACCTTCTCCAAAGACGTAAAGTCCCCGGAATTGGCATACTTCTCAATAAGAGAATAGAATGTAGAATCACCCAATTTGAAAGAACCCAACTTTGGAGCCTCTTTAAATAACTTATCTGAAATTGGTACTTCCACTTCATTTTTACAAGAACCCAAGTTGGGTTTTAGGGTAACTTTAAATGAATTATCAGAAAGGGGTTCTTCTACTTCAGTTCCACAAGAATTAAAGTTGGGTATTGGGGAAATTTTCATTGAGTTATCAGATATGGATATTTCCATTTCAGTTCCACAAGAACTCAATTTGGGTAGTCCCATTTCAGTTTTCAAAGTAGAAATTGCATAGTCTATTTCAGGTTCTTTGTCAGTATGAGAAGGGTTCGAAAGAGCTGAGAATAAATGGTTAATGGTGAAGTTAGAGAAAGACTTACATGGGATTAGCTTTGAGGTGAACTGTTTGGTAGGGAGGGAGAAAAAGAGCATGCCTTTTCAACTCAGATTCTCATGAAGAAAAACAAAAACTTCTGATTATGATCATATATGTTGGGTTTAAACTTTAAATTCAAGAATCTTTAGCGAAGGTTCAAGAAAATGAAGAAGGTCTCTGTGAGACGCTGACAATGAAGAAGAAAACCACGAGGAGGGTAGCGGGAGTAGGGCAGAAAACTGGAAGGGTGGGGTGGGGGATTGTGGGGGGTGGGGTCTCTCTATTGATTCTATTTTTTCTCTCTATTGAATCATTAGCGCGGATATGTCTTTATAATAATTTATTTATATCATGCATGATTTTTATTTTTATAATAGATAAAAAGATTATATAAATCATACACATCACATTTTTTTAGTTGTCATTTGTCAAGGTAAATTATTTATGCTAAATTTATATACTTTTATTAATTTGTTATTCTTTACCATCAATATTATGGGTTTTTTTTTTTGGTACGGATGTAATTAAAGAATCTAATTATTTTTTATAGATGTGATATTATATATGCAATAATCTCACAAATATGAACTAAATATTTGGTAAAAAATTAAATAAGTAAAATAGTTTTACCAAATTATCGATGCGAAGAATGATCATAATATTGATTTATTTGTTTAACATTTTTAAAAAAAATTCATTTTAACATGTATCCTTTGTTTTGCAAGGAAAATAGTACACTACAGTTGTATGTATAAAACTTATTACTTTAAGCATTTTATGGTAAGAAAAATTTAATTGAATGTATTTAAATACATGATTGAAGTGCAAACATGTTTTCGAAATAAGAGGAACTTAAGTTTTCTGGTTAAAAGTTTAAATTCATTGGTATCCACTGAAATTTGATGTTATCGCATTTACATCAAAACTTATTGTGAAATAAAACACTCATTTTATGCAAGGACGAATCTAGATTTTTCATTAAGGAATTGAAAAAATAAAAATATAGTGTTTAAGACCTGAATTCAAATCTAAAGGTGAATTTTGAATCAGACACTTTTAATCTTATATATGTTCAAAATATATAAATAAAAATTAAAAAAAAATACTGTATATATATATCATCTAATTATTTGTCGAGAGAGTTTGATTAATCCCACGCTACCCTCTTTAGATAGGCCCCTATAAAGGAAATCAACTTTTGCAATATAAGTAAAACAATCGATAATATTACTTTGTTCACTTTTATTCGTTTTATATTTTAAAAATATATTTTCACTTTTAATCAAAGTGCATAGTATCGTAAGATATTAATACTAATCATCATTTTTTTAAAGTATCACACAAAATTCCAATTGGGAAGTAAAGGTGAATGGAGGTAGTATTTTTTCATGTGCATCGATCGATTTGGTTTGGTTTTAAGTATTATCAATTTGATTTATTGATTTTTTATTTTTAAATACGTTAAATCAATAACAAACCAAAACAATCTTCTTTATCGATTTTTGATTTATAGGTTTCTGGTCATTAATGATTCGGATTTCGATTTACTCAATAAGAAAATGATTATAAAATAAATATACTACTTTTCACTTCTTTAACAATTTGACACGATTCAATAAAACAAACAAATCAACTGTAAATGCTTTGATATAGTGAACAAGAAATATAATGAGAAATTACATCAATAAGAGTAGATGTTGTATGAAAGATACAATTACATGTTACAACCAAAACATTAAAATTTCGGATGTGAAGTAGAAGTAATGAAGATTGTCGCGTAGAATACTTATATAATGTTTAGTTATGTTAAATTATTAATATTTAATATTATGAAGGGTAAAGTGGTAAAAAACTATCGTCTTATCAATAAACCCAATACTAAAAACCGATAACCTAATATATATTTTTCTTATAAAATCATTAACATTAGTCCATTCAATTTTTGCACACCCCTTAATTTAACTCTACTTATTACAAGTCAATGTAGCGTTTGAAACTAATCAAAGCATTAATAAGAAATTACTCTCTCTATCAGATACTTATTAGTTGATCACTTTTAGAAAAAACATACTAATTAATACTTTCTTAATTTAGTAAAGTATTAAACTAATGCGAAACAACTATTTTAAAAAAGATGGACGGAAAATGCTCTTAACAGGTGAATCCCATTTTCATCATCAGTGACTTATAACTGACCAAATTCTTTCTTAAGATTTAGTAAGTCTTAGCTGTGTTTGTATATATATATAGAGAGAGCTAGATAGTACTATCACACAGAAATTCCTTCGGGAACAAGAAACAGATAGAATTCGTATGGTTTTTTGAATGGGATCTTCAAATGGGAGTGATTATTTCGAATCGTATAGTAATTTTGGGCGGCAATCTAATGCAGATTCAGACGAAGATGAGTTAATGTGGGCAGCTTTAGAGAAGTTGCCATCGGAGAAGCGTACAAACTTCGCGTTGTTAAAACGCACGGATACGGTCGATGTCACAAAGCTTGATCGACTCACTCGACAACTTCTTGTCAACAATGCACTTGCTACTTCAGAACAAGATAATTACAAGCTCCTCTATTCCATCAAACAACGCTTTGATAGGTACTACAGACTATTTTCAATTGACCCTCGATCCACAATGTGAAATATATACAGGTTTATCGTTAATGGTTTTGGCCAACTAATAAGAAAATTTGTCTTTTAAAAAATGAAGGGTGGGATTGGAGATTCCTAAAGTTGAAGTGCGATATGAAAATTTAACCATATCAACAAATGTGAAAGTAGGTTCAAGAGCATTGCCTACATTATTAAATTTTGGTTATGATGTAATCGAGGTACGTAATGCTAACCATTTAGTTTAATTTGATGATTGTTTCCACCTTTATGATATGTTATTGTTGATCCATCGCGTTTGATATATATATATCCTCATTCTTCTGTGTCAATTTCATGAATACAGAATATATTAGCTGGATTAAGGATATTCAAACCAAGGAGACATCCCCTTACAATTTTGAACAATGTTACTGGCATTGTAAAACCTGGAAGGTAATCTTTTTGTTCTTACATCACATGTATGTTACGTTGCATAGTCATTCATACTACACGACCAGCACTAAGATTGGTACATACTACCTTTTATATATGATATGGTTTACCTGACCACGGACCACATTCATGTGTCGGGTTCATAAAGTAATTTACAAAATGTTGAATGTATTTAACAGGGCTTTGCAGCTTGTTGCAAGCATTGGTTTATTAAGAATACCTAAGAAAATCATCAATATATGCCGAATTGCTCCATATATAGTTTCCCGAACCACATTTTACAAACAAACCAGAGCCACTTCGAATTGATCTTGTCTTCTTCTTTTCTTTTTCGTTGTTGTGAATTTACATTGTTTGGTTGCCAGTAATTTTAAATTATTGTTGATTGTAACAAAACATTGGATCCTATTAAATAATCTTTGTTTGTATTGCTATCAATATGAATAGGATGACTCTGCTACTAGGACCTCCAGGTTCTGGTAAATCCACATTGCTTTTAGCTCTTTCTGGAAAGCTTGACAATGGACTGAAGGTCAGTATACGTGCATTAATTACTCGCTCGTTATATAATCCAATAGTATTAACTTAATTGTTCCTTAACTTAAGTTGAGTTGTATAAAAGCATATACACTCATATACATATTATACATTAATTGAAGATCACTACTTTAAATGAAGTGATCGATTAGTAGATAAGGTTTATCTCAATATGCACTGCATCTCGAGTAAATATTAATGAAACGCTGCGTTTTGGGCTGAAGGGACCGGAGATTTGGTAGGCGTTGGACATGAATTGAGTATATTTAAAAAAAGAGAGTAGTATTTGGAATTAAGTTGAAAAAGGGTATTTATAGAGTTTGGACATGCATTTCACTTGAAAAAGTATTTTAAGTTTTGTGAGATAACTTTTTTTGCTCGAAAAAACAGGTTCAGACCAGTTTTGAACCAACTTTTCCGAACTTGAAATATCTTTTTTCACGTTTGGAGTGAAAAATTTAGAAAAATAACACGACTTTATTTGGTTTCAGCGAACTGGCAATATTACGTATAATGGACATAAAGAGGATGAGTTTTGTGTGCAAAGAACTTGTGCTTACATAAGTCAAATAGACAATCATATTGCAGAGCTAACTGTAAGAGAAACTTTAGATTTCGCAGCGAGATGCCAAGGTGCAAGTCATAGTTTTGGAGGTAATTTGTCTTAACTTCTCTTCTACTCCTTAATGGATCTCTATTTTTAAATAAAATGATTTTTCTACAAACTTTTCTCAAGTATACTTATCAATTTGCACAACCGTTTATCATTTACTTGTTTTCAAAGCCTTTTCTATGCCATACACATAATGTAGCTGGTTGAACCATGTAATAACCTCATACTCTGCATTTAATTCTTTACTTCAATTATAGTAACCATGTGCTCCCTGCTACTAATACAGTTAACATAATGGACGTAGCAATTCTTGATACGAATCAGTTCCAAACTACATTTGAACTTAACCATTATGATAGCTCAAGCTCTCTGAAACTATGTACGAACCTTCTTCTAAGCTACTCCGGTGTGCTGCATAATTCTATACCCTCAGTATGCCTTTACTTAACATTTAGTCTATGGTGGTTGTCTTTACTTCTTGCGAGGGAGTTTTCCATGAATAAGCTTTTTTCCGGTCCTTATTAAGTAATCTATGCAACATACTTGTGCATCTCCACTGGCTCAGTTCTCACTTTCATTCCATTTTCACATCTGACAAATGAACAAATGGTGGCAACTTGATCAATTTGGTGCTGTCGAATGCAATTCATTCCAGATCCCAAACAAATCATTAAAATTGAAAACCAACTGTTGCAACTAAAACTAATTTCAAATTGCCACCGAATTAAGTTTAAATTGATTAGAAAAAAGTTTTGACATTTTTGTTAACAAGAATGATGTCTTTCATCAAGAGCCATAGGTTGTCTCTTCCTGAAACACTGGAGAATAAATTTTCCTGAAGATTGCAAGTGCAAATTGTTTGTTGCCTCTTATTTAAACCAGTCAAGGTTTATCAGACATAGCAGGTTTTCTTTCCTGATCTTTGCCCGTTATATATATATATATATATATATATTTCTTCTGCAGACTATATGAAAGACCTTGATCATTTAGAGAAGGAAAGAAAGATACGCCCAAAGTTTGAGATAGATGCGTATATGAAGGTTTGATTATGATCATCCTTACTTTTTAATGCACTCAAAAATGACAAATCATGACCCTTTTTTTTTTTGGTTGCTTTCATGTTGACTTTTGATGAAATAAATGAAACCATTCAGGCATCTTCTGTTGGTGGTACAAAGCACAATGTGTCCACAGAATATGTCATGAAAGTTCTTGGTCTTGATATATGTTCAGATACAATAGTTGGTAATGACATGATGAGAGGAATTTCAGGTGGACAAAGGAAGAGAGTTACAACAGGTCTCTCTCTCTCTCTCTTTATATATATTTTGTGTGTGTATGCATGTATTTCTCTCTCTCTCTCTCTCTCTCTCTCTCTCTCACACACACACACACCAAAACAACCCAGAAACAATCACAAAAACACACTCTACTATGCTTGAGTTGCATTTGATCGAATTAATAGTTTGGGGATTTTCCTTAAAATATCTTCTTTTTGGAATTTGTTGTGATGGGGGAAGTGACATGCTTTGTGGAATTTAAATTCTAGATTTGCATGCTAATATTTCTATCTGCAGGAGAAATGATTGTTGGACCCAGGAAAACACTATTCATGGATGAAATTTCTACTGGACTTGACAGTTCTACAACTTTCCAAATAGTCAAATGCATAAGAAATTTTGTTAATTTAATGGAAGGAACTGTGATGATGGCTCTTCTTCAACCTGCATCAGAGACTTTTGAGTTATTTGATGATCTGGTGTTACTATCTGATGGATATGTTGTATACCATGGACCTCGAGCAGATGTTATTCCATTTTTTGAGTCATTAGGATTTCAATTGCCATCTCGTAAGGGCGTTGCTGATTTTCTTCAAGAGGTACTTCCATTATGGTACTGTATATCCCAGAACTGGACTTGGTACTTAATTAATGTCTTTGTAGGTTACCTCCAGAAAAGATCAGGCACAATACTGGGCTGATACTTCCAGACCATATGAGTTCATTCCCGCTGAGGAAATTGCTGAAGCTTTTAGAAATTCCGGATATTTTCAGGATCTAAAGTCATCTCTTTCGGTTCCATACGATAGATCCAAGAGCCATCATTTGGCTTTATCTAAGACAAAGTTTGCTGAATCCAGATTGGAGCTCCTTAAGAGTTGTTTTTCAAGAGAAATGCTTCTAATGAGTAGGAATAGTTTTCTATACATCTTCAAAACATGTCAGGTATTCTAATGTAGTTTGTTTTCTTTATCCCAAACTACTTCACCTACTAATATCTTCTGCCTGTCTCAGTTTACTTGACCCTTTTTTTTACCTTAGATACAAGTTTTCCCATCTCCTATAGTCCTATAACTCATGTGTGTGGAACCTCTCTCATTTATATTACAGGTTGCATTTATGGGATTTGTAACATGCACGCTGTTTCTAAGAACGCGGTTACATCCCACTGATCTGGTGAATGGGAACTTGTATCTTTCTTGCTTATTTTTTGGCTTGGTGCATATCATGTTCAACGGTAGATCAGAACTCCCTCTCTTAATATTTCGCCTCCCAGTATTCTATAAGCAAAGAGATAATTTCTTCTATCCTGCGTGGGCGTGGTCCTTCAGTAGTTGGATTCTGCAGTTACCTTACTCCATAATTGAAGCTGTTGTATGGTCTTGTGTTGTATATTGGACTGTAGGTTTTGCACCTGGTGCTGGGAGGTACATACAGTGTTCTGTTGACATCACACATACATATTTTATTGGTTATATTCTGCTTACACCGCCTTCATCTTTTTCGCAGATTTTTCCGTTACATGTTTTTACTATTTTCAGTACACCAAATGGGGATGGGTCTCTTTAGATCCATAGCTTCTATTTCACGAGATATAATTATCGCAAATACATATGGATCAGCTGCTCTGCTAATCACATTTTCACTGGGTGGTTTTATCTTGCCAAAAGGTAAGTTTATAGCTCTCTTCATTATTAACAGAATGTCATTTTATTGAAAGAGGTTCCATTTTTACAGAAATGATCAAGCCATGGTGGGTATGGGCCTTTTGGGTGTCACCATTGTCCTACGGACAGCGAGCTATTTCAGTTAATGAATTTACTGCCACAAGATGGATGGAGGTGTGACTTCTCTACCATACAAAACCTGGATAGCTATATATAGAGAATAAGTAGCTGTCTTTATATAAATTTAAATTTACTTTTTGTAGAAGACAACAAGTGGAAATGTTACCCTTGGTTACGCTGTTCTGCAATCCCATAGTATACCAACATCTGGTTACTGGTACTGGCTTGGAGTAGGAGTTCTATTGCTCTATGCTTTGCTTTTCAACGTTATTCTGACTGTAGCCTTGTCTTTCCTCAACCGTAAGTTAAAAGCTCCTGTAACAGAGATAAGAGTTGTCATCATATTGATTCCAATATCTACTGGACTCATATTTTTCGGTTTACTCCTGCAGCACTAAGAAAATTGCAGGCAATTATCCCAGCTGATTCCAGTGGTGTAAATTCAGTTAGTGATGGTAAACAATTTTCTCTGTTAGATTTTTGGCTTGTGTATCGATGATCTATTTATCATAATCTTTTGTGTAGGACCTGGCCAGGGGGTGAGTACAACGAAAGGAATAATCTTCCCTTTCCAACCACTAACGATGACTTTCCATAATGTCAACTACTTTGTTGACATGCCAAAGGTATCCATTAGGGATAATTTCGTTTATTTTTGAATGATGAATCGTATTTCAAGCTGGAAACATATATCCTTTTCTCAGGAAATGAGTTCAGAAGGAATACCTGATAAAAAGTTGCAGCTACTGTCAAATGTAAGTGGAGTATTCTCACCTGGCGTTCTAACTGCATTGGTTGGTTCAAGTGGAGCGGGCAAAACCACATTGATGGATTGCCTAGCTGGTAGGAAAACTTCTGGACATATAGAGGGTGATATTAGGATATCAGGCTACCCTAAAATACAAGAGACATTTGCAAGAATTTCAGGATATGTTGAACAGAATGATATACATTCTCCTCAAGTGACAGTTTTTGAATCCTTGTGGTTTTCTTCTTATCTCCGGCTCCCCAAAAACGTGAATGAAAAACAAAGACAGGTTAGTAGAGCCCATGCCTTTTGGTTTCTTCATTTTTATGTTCATATTATTTAATTTCATAGTATTGTGATTGATCTATTTGGTTAAAACTCAGTACCCCTTTGACTTTCTTATTTTTCAGGAGTTTGTTGAAGAACTAATAGAGTTAGTGGAACTTGACTCTCTAAGGCATGCTTTGGTTGGCTTGCCTGGCCGTTCTGGCTTATCAACCGAACAAAGAAAACGTTTGACAATTGCAGTAGAACTTGTGGCAAACCCATCCATAATTTTTATGGATGAACCTACGTCTGGGCTTGATGCACGAGCTGCAGCCATTGTAATGAGAACTGTTCGTAATACGGTAGATACTGGACGAACAGTGGTCTGCACAATTCACCAGCCAAGTATTGAAATTTTTGAAGCATTTGACGAGGTAAGATACCACAGTTTTTCTCAAATAGATAAAAAGCATGTGTTATGCTAATGTGATGCTACAATTTTTAGCTTCTTCTAATGAAACGCGGGGGACAAGTGATATACGGAGGAAAGCTTGGGGAGAAGACACAAATTATGATTAACTATTTTCAGGTATGTACTTGGCTGTCCGCTAGCTGTTTCAATGTAGGTGTTTCTACTATTTCGAGGTATACAATTTTCATAATGTGTAGAATGCAATCCCTTAAAATTGACCAGAATGTGAATTTTGTTAACTGCAATCTCCATATTGAGATGATTCATCTGCTCAGCACTGCTTTCTGGTCATATTTTGCAGGGTATTCACGGTATACCCCCAATTCCTAGCGGTTATAATCCTGCAACCTGGATGCTTGAGATAAGTACATCAGCTGCTGAAGCGAAACTTGGAGAAGATTTTGCAACAATATACAGAAATTCTGAACAGTACAGGTGATCTTAGCGGACTTGTTTCAATTCCTGAAATTTATTATTTTATTTGTCTTATTTTCTTTTTCCTTTTGACAATCTTGTGTTTATGTTCTATTTTTTCAACATAGGCAAGTTGACGCCTTAATTAAGCGTCTGAGCGTCCCACCTGAAAACTCAGAACCTATGGGCTTCACTTCCAAATATAGTCAAGGTGCAGTGTCTCAGTTTAAGATCTGCCTGTGGAAGCAAAATCTTGTATACTGGAGAAATCCGTCATATAATTTCATGAGGTTGTTCTTCACAACAATGTGTGCATTGATTCTTGGTTCCGTATTTTGGGATGTTGGTTCAAAAAGGTAAATATCCTTTATGAGATATCCATAGCCAACTACTGGATGGTTGTTCTAGTTTCTCTGGATGAAATTCACTTGTCATTTCTCTATTTAATGAAAAGTATACAGCTTTATACCATGCCTCAGGTATATATTTTATAGTAGGAAAAGACAGAAGGAAAGATGGGCCTGCTGTTTCTTAATAATAGGGAAAAACTTCTTGAAAATGGTAAGAATGCATAGGTGATTCAAATAACTTGCTGAAGGGAAGGATTAAACTAGAAATTATTCACATTGTAACAATTCAATAGTAGAGCACAACGTATTAAGCGCAGAGTACATTAGCGTTGTATTTGGACATAAGGAGATGGCTTTGTCAAAAAAAGCTAGAAACAAATATTAAGGACATTATAAAAAAATTCTTCTGGTATAACTTTCTGGTCTTATTTTAAGCATTGTTTTATGCATTGATCTATGGTTTAAAACTGCACAGCTTATTTTGAAGCTAGCAAACTTCAAAATCTTTATAATTCAAATCCATCGTTGAGTAATGGTGGTTGTGGTTAAACAAGAGGACTGCTAAATGGAATCATTGGATTGAACTATACTGGTTTTTTTTTTTGTTTGTAGAAGAATGTACACACTATGCACTAGAAAAATCTTCTACCCACTAAGACGTGCATCTTTATAGCTATATTGTCCTAAAGATGGATACATCAGCAAGAAATGGAATTCAGATGTTCTGCTGGATAGGCTGGTCTGATGATAAGAAAATGGAGTTAGATTCGGTCAAGAGTAACCTTGAAAAACTTCTGCTTCATGAAAAAAGATAGAGAATAAGCACCTTGAACCAAATTGCTTGGTGGCTTTTATTAATAATTAGAGAATACAGCAGTAATGCAGTATACAGATTAGATGGCTTGTGAAATGAGTCCTACTGTTTAAGCAGGTATCTTTTCACTTTAAAGAAAATAAATTAGTAGAGCTTCAGCTGGCTTCTTCATGTTTCTTCCCTTTATTTCTGCCTTCTAAATTTAGGGTAATTGGCTAATGGCTATGGATCTTGATAATTGTTTTTGGCTGATATAAAACTCCTTAATGATTGCTCAAAGCCCCAAACCGTTAAATTATTATGCTTGAAATGATTTGACAGGGACTCAACTCAAAATTTGTTTGTGGTAATGGCGGCTCTTTATGCTTCGGTCTTGTTTCTGGGGGTCAATAATGCTTCTTCTGTACAGCCAGTTGTTTCCATTGAAAGAACTGTTTTCTATAGGGAAAAAGCTGCAGGAATGTATTCCTCGCTACCATATGCAGCAGCTCAGGTTGGCATATTCACAGACAAAATTACGTTTACTTGTAAAAAACTATAGTTGTATGAATTTCTTGATTGTCAAAAGGATCTGATTATATGTATTGATGACTTCTGATGAACTTTTTCTTTTTTTTGGTCTATCAGGGTCTTATTGAGATTCCATATGTCATGATCCAGACCATCATTTACGGAATCATTACATATTTCATGATCAACTTTGGAAGGGAAGCAGGTATGATAAATTTCACAGTTCATGGTTCTTTATGATCAATTATATGCTGTCATGCATCTGCTAAATTGCGGAAAATTGTTGTGCAACATGAATGTCAAAACAAACTATTTCTTCATGGGGTAGCAGGGTTAGGCTTAAGAACCAATAAGTGATTTAGATGAAAATTAGGAACATAAAACAGTACCCGTCATAGCCTACTTGATATGGAACTTTGTGGTTATGAAAGAAATACTCTTCTCCATTACAAATAAACAGCAAGGCGTCCTCTCTCATATGACCATATTTCACTTGCCAAACATGACAAATAGTAAACAACATATGTTAATTTTAGTATTACTACAAGAAATTATCTAAAATAGAAAGGCCTGCTGAGCAAACTGTCTCTAAAATTATTTGAAAATATATCATTGGCTATAAGATTCTCTGCTGGTGTATTTACATCCTTTACTTCAATTCATAGTTTTCTGGTGTTGCGGGTTTTGAGTTTTATTCATAAATTGATTGCACTATCATGACCCTTTTCCATGAACTGCACCTGTAACAGCTATTGTATTCCTTGCTTTTGGAGTTGGTGGGGTCATTGACTCACTTATGTATTGTTTGGATATCTTGCAGGCAAATTTTTCCTCTACATACTATTCATGTTTCTTACATTCATGTATTTCACCTTTTCTGGTATGATGATTGTTGGTCTTACACCAACTCAACATTTGGCGGCCATCATTTTATCAGCTATCACTTCATTGTGGAACCTCATGTCTGGTTTTCTAGTTCCAAAACCTGTAAGTATTCTTACTTCCCTTATCACTAGTCAAAATTGCAATTGTCGTGTTTGTTGAACTAGATTGCTTGAGATAACATTTTGAGGTGGTCAACCAAAACACGAACAATTTCCTTGTGGAACACTAAATGTATAGTGTTATGAAATCTGCAAAAACTGGAAGTTGGACTCTATTTCATGATTTCTGCTGCATCTCACTGTTGTGGCTCCTTTATAACTAATTGCTCATCAAGTTGCCCTAGACAGCCTTTTATGAATTAGTCTTCATGCATGCCATTTTCCTTGTGTCATTTAGAGTATCCCGGGATGGTGGATATGGTTCTACTACATCAACCCAGTTGCATGGACAGTCCGTGGCATCATTAGCTCTCAACTTGGTGATGTGGAAACAAGGATTACAGGACCTGGATTTGACGGAACAGTAAAAGACTATTTGGAAGTCAGACTTGGATTTGGTCCTGGGATGATTTGGTGGTCTGCTGTTATGCTTACTGGATTTTGCTTTCTCTTTTTTGCCATCTATGCAGCATCAGTCAAACGTCTTAACTTCCAAAAAAGATGAAGCGCTGTTCAAGTGTTAAAACTATTATCCTTCATTGAATCAAATATACTTATAATTTCAAAATGTGCTTATTTGGCAATAGTTTTGGATCCAGATTTGAATATGTTGTCAAGGAAAACAAGTATAGGTGATGATATATATTAGACCTTAATGGTTTTGCTGTTTTCCAGTGCTCAATATACTTTCCAAATGCTAAAGAAACTTCATTTCCCTCTTTTTGTCAAATTTTATTTGTTTTTATGTAATACCGGATAAGATAGAGCCTAAATGGAATAACATGAACAATGAGGATTCACATAGCCAACCTCAACTTCCTTGGATTTGAGTTATACTTGCTGGCAGGGGCGGCCACGTGTCGTCCAGGGGGTTCACCCGAACCCCCTCGATAAAAAATTACACTGTATATATTAGGTAAATTTTCTGGATTTATGTGGATATATATATTTTGAACCCCTCAATGACAAGGTGAAAGAGATAGCCCAGCGGCAGCTCCCTACGAAATTAAGTGTGGTGTTAAACCCAAAAGAATTCAAGGGTCCCATACTCCCATTCCTAAAGGCTAATAACTTTTTCACTTCCCAAATCCTTAAATCACTTCCTTAGTTCTTCCCCAACACTCAAAAGTCAAATATTAAACCCAAAAGAATGAATGATGACTTCTTGAGTGGTTGCATGGTTCCTTTTATGGAGAAGGATGTGTTTAATGATGTTTCAACGGATGATATTATTTGTCTTTTCAAGCAATGAAACCTCGAATAGTATTGTAAGCGTGCTTGAGAAGTATTAACACTGACCTCTTTTTGGAGTTTGTAGTTAGCACTCTAGTCCTACAGTGAGACATTATGAAGTGCTAATTTTTTTTGTTCTAGTTAGCACCATATTTTGCTCTACTTAGCATCCTAGTTCTAGATTGACATATTGTAAAGGGCTAACTTTTTGTTTCACTATAATCACTCATGTTAGTTTCGGGTTTCTTGTAACAAAACTAACTTTTTGTACCTATAAACTTTGTACTACTACTTTCTTGAAATTTTGTTTTGTTGGCATATTTACACGTTTATATTTTTATTTTTCGAACCCCTGAATGAAAATTCTGGGTCCACCACTGCTTGCTGGTATTCACATTTACATAGTTTTAAGCCAGGCTTGATGCAATTCACAATGATGAAAAGAAATACAGGCGAACCTTTTATTTAGATATATTTAGCAGTGGCCTGGAAGGCCATTTTTCCTTACATTAGTATTCTTATCTTTTGGGATCGCCTTATTCAGATGCACATTTTACATTACAGTGATAGAACAACTAGAGTTCAAGCTGGAGCCTCAGCACTAGAAGGAACAGCCTTATGGACATAAACAGGATCCCCCACCTTGACTATCTTGCCTTTTCCACGGCTAAGAGCATCGGAACAAACCATGTTCTGTCCAAAATATACCTGCAAAATAACATGAAAGATCGTACTTGTGATTTATCTAGGGATTATTAGGTAATTAGTTATGGAACTTCTCAATTTAATAGATCATACCTTCCCTTGTTGTTTCTTATTCGGACGCAAGGCCTTATCGGATCTGAATTGCAAGAGAGTTTCTGTTGGCTCAGAGCCTGCTATTGCTGTTTCTTGATTTATGGTAGGTACCTAATATAAAGAACAGAATCAAGGTCAAATATAAAGAGTTTATCTTGATAATGAGCGTTCAAATGCAGATTAATTAAGAAGGTTAAGTACTACAAAATAAAAAATATGTTTTCATAATCAACTCCGTTCTCTTAGTTAAAGCTTGAATCAAAGATACTCATCACAAAATTAAAGAAGGAGAAACATACTACGCTCTTTTGATCTTGCCCAAACAAGTTGCTAGAATAATAGGTCTGAATTCATGTCTATCCCACGACTATAGAGCAAAACTATGCATGGAGTTGCTATAAAAGGCCCTCAGATATGTTAAATTTCTCTTCAATATCATGTTGCATGAACTTTATACAAGAAAAAACAGGTGGAAAAAACAGCTTCCAGTATGCAAAGGTTATTCTCTGTCGTTTAGTAAGAAAGTAAGTTCATGAGGTCTTACCTTACAGCGAGAGCATAGCTTGACACCCTCAAATGTCAACTTATTGATCCGGATCTCCTTCCACAAATCCTCAGCAAATGGTTCACATCCATCAACAAGGACACTGTGAAAGAAGATAACGTCAAAAATTTAACTGAGTTAATCTAAAGTACTAACAGTTTGTACAGGAAAAGGAAAGAAAGTAAACAACCAATCATAAACAAATTATACAAGAGGGACAAGAGTATACTTGGGTCTAAAACGATTTACTGGAACAGGTTCCTTGAGAAGAGAATTTAACGCATTCAACGATCCCTGCAGAACATGGAGCAAGAAAATCTAGCCTAAGCTCTTGTTTTATGGATGTTTATGTTGAATTTAAATGATGATATTACTAACCTGGGATAGCACGAGGTATGGATATCCATCAGAAAACATAACATTGTATCCTTGAGCATAATTAGGATCTACAACCCTCATTTCCTTAACTACAAGAGTCAACAGGAAGCAACTTATTTCGATACACTAATCTATGAAAAAAATTGTAAAAATATAGGTCCACTCAATGCCGAGTATTGCTTCAAAATTGTGAAAAACTTGGACAAAACGATACCTGATTCATCTTTATTCAACTGTTTAATGATATTGTTCAAATTCAGTGGATGACGTTCTGAGATCAAAACATGGGGACCAAAAAGATCTATCTAATTAATGAAATGAAAATCTAGTTCTTGGAAAGAAGATTGTCTGATCGTGAAGAGCTTTCTTAACCCTTCCTAACAACTTAAGGATATTTAGCTTCTGGTAGAAAAGTACTCCCTCCCAAAATTAATATTTAGCATTTGCTTGATAACCATGAAAGCTGTGAAGCAACATAAGAAATTGACTGTATGCAAGGTGGTAGGTCCTAGACTTATGTAACTAGCCATTTTCTCAAATCTCGTCACAAAAAAACAAGTAAAAATTGCAAAAGATGCAAAGGAGATAGCATGAGCCATGAGTTGCTCTCTAAACTACGTATTGAAAGCTGGACAATACGTAGAGAAGTTAAGCATAAAAGGTGGAAGAGATATACAGAGAAAATTTAAGACAAGGATATTGTAACATCAGTGATTTCATATGAGTAACATATAGATGAGGAAAATCTAGATAGAACTATGGGATGAGTTATACCTTCACTAAAGCGAACTAGCCGACTTGGTTTCCCCAGATGTGTGGAGAACCACATAGCTGCCTCAGCTCCCTCGTCCAAGGCAGAACCAGACCACTCCCAGACCGAGACACCATCCGACACTACAGATGGGTTACTTAGTGGAATGTTCAGTGGATCCATACCGGGAGCTCTGATAACTACATCCAAAAAGTAATTTGAGATATCAAAAGTATGACAGGAAGCTTCTATGATTAAGGAGATGCTACAAGGAGTAAAAAAACAATAACAATATTACAATTTATCCTATATCTTAAATTCTTAAGTCACACAGGGAACCAAACACTGATTGTTAGCTCAGCATATCAACATTTTCAGTTGAATGATCTATCTTTTAACATTTATTATCCTCTCTCTTTCTTGTCGACTATAGTAGTAGTAATAGATTGCTAGGAGAAAAACATGACCAGTTTTGCTGCAGCACCATTTAGCTAAAAAGAGAAACTGTACCAATGAGATAATTTTATTTTATTTTTATTTGCACCGGGTGTCCGAGTCTCTTTGAGCCCCGACTAATCCCGGGGGTGCACAGGCCCTCGGCAAGGAGTTTCCCGCAAGTGCACCACGGTTAATTCAGGTTTTACCCAGTCCGATGGCCCTCAGAAATTGTTTGCACCTAGTGGGTTTCGAACTTGAGACCTTGAAAGGGAGCAAACCCCAAGGCTCAAGTCAATTGCCAGCAGGCCAACCCCTGAGGGTTGTACCAATGAGATAATACAATAGTAAAAAAATATAATTAAAAACTATGACCTTATTTTCGACTGAAAACTATGACACTACCTAGATAAGAGTCATTATTTGGTTCCCAGCCTTCAGAAAAGGCCTCAGTTGGCAATGCCACTTCGACAAGAGCAAGCTTCGGTTCAACTCTTTGAGTATAGGCCCTGCCTTTGGAATTCACCACTAACCATTGTCGATCCCATCGAAATCCTGTTTAAGTGCAACAAGATATCAATTTTCAACTGATAATATGAATGAAAGAAACAAGTTTAGGAACAGAAAAGTAAAAACTCACCACTAACAATTTGTTAATGAAATTGTTATTTACTCAAAAAGTCAAATATGAAACTAAACCATACTACATAAAATTTGTCCCAAGGTACTCCATCCTAGAAGGTGACCAAAAAACAAACCTCTAACAAGAATACCAAATTTCATATCTAATAGTAGTACTTTGTATTTTGACATTTTGGAAATGAGAAAAAATGAGCAAGTTCAAATCTTGATTTGGTTTTGCATATTGAGAGTAGGAACTAGGAAATCCAACTTTTCCCAAATAGGAAGGAAAAGAGATAATTATTCTCCAAAAAAGTTTAAAACTGTTTTCAATAGCAATCTACCTTCTCAAATCTTGACACTTCCATATGAACCAAAACACAAAAAGAGGAAAGCTACCAACTTTATCTTATTTTCCTTTACCCCACAATCTTAATTACCAGAAGACACCCTTTTACACTCCATAACCAGTAAAACAAACCCAAAAAGGAAAAAAAAAACAATAATTTCAAGATTTAAAGGAAAAATTGAGCATACCAGTAGAAGTGATAGGTGCTTGAGAAACAGAAATTCCACGGCATGATTTGATGGGATATACAAAGATTGATTTAACTTGAGCTGCTGGTGCTCCTATGACTTCTGCCATCACTCTCTGTATCTGCTCTTTGCTTTGGTCTTACCTACTTCATCTGAATATATATATATATATATATATATTACTATATAAGAAGAGAGAATAAGTATT